GAGAGGTGTACAAATACTGAGTTCTAGGGTGCAAAAGGTTTAGAACTCTCAGCGATAAGAAATCAAGAGAAGAAGAAGAAACAGTCGATGAGGCAGGTGGAAAAGAAGCGTCCTGGAAACTAAGTGAAGCCAGCCCCGAAGAAATTCGGAACTGGGGGATTGGAGAGGTAGCAGAGCAGGCAAGGCCTTGCAGAATCCCCACCAGGAGTGATTCTTGAGCGCAGGGACAGGAGTAACCCCTGAGCATTGCGGCCTCACACCTCACCCCATCTCCCCCACAAAAAGAAATTCAGAGCTGAATTCAAAAACCTAAAGCTATTTTGTGCAGGAATTCTAGTTCTTATCTTTCTCTAAAAATCCTAAAATAAAAGCAGGTTGAACCCTACCTAACTCCCAAACCTTGCATTGAGGTTTGTGGATAAGATGAGAGCCTCAGGGAACCAGCCCCGGAGGGAACTTCCTGATGACTCTGATTTTCTGAAGACTCAGGCACCCAGCAATTCATACCCAACCTCTTCTCTGAAAAAAAGGTCTTTCCTTGTTCTCTTTTTTTCCTAAACCCGCTTTTTGTGACCTACAGATAGGTCTTAAAACCTCTTAAACATTTTCTCCTTAAGATCTCTCTCTGGAGGTTGGAGCAATAGCACAGCAGGGAGGGCATTTGCCTTGCACGCAGCCGACCTGAGTTTGATTCCCAGCATCCCATATGGTCCTCCGAGCACTGCCAGGAGTAATTCCTGAGTGCATGAGTCAGGAGTAACCCCTGGGCATCGCTGGCTGAGACCCCAAAAGGGGAAAAAAAAGACTGGGGTCAGCTGCAGGCAAAAACAAGTACTTTAACCCGTGAGCTCTCTCTCCAACCCAAGGTGTTACTTTTTTATTTTAATTTTTAATTAAAACCTTTAATTACATTTTGTTTTCTGTGCCACACCTGGCTGTGCTCAGGGCTAATTTCATCCCCTCATCACCACCAATTTTATTTTATTAAAGTACGGTGAGTTACCTAGTTATTCATAGTTGGGTCTTTGACATACAATGTTCGATCACAGATCCCTCCACCAATGTCAACTTCCCTTTCCATAGGCTAACTTCAGTCTCCGCATAGCAAATCACTCCTAGCAGAATAAAACAACCATAATGTGTGCTGAAGATTAAACCCCAGTCAGCTATATATATATATATATGTATATATATATATATATATATATATATATATATATGCGCCTTATCTGATGTACTATCTCTCCATCCCCACCCCCAAGTGCTTTTTTTTTTGGCTTTTTTGGGTCACACCTGGCGATGCACAGGGGTTACTCCTGACTTTGCACTCAGGAATTATCCCTGGCGGTGCTCAGGGGACCATACAGGATGCTGGGAATCAAATCCAGGTTGGCCGCGTGCAAGGCAAACACCCCAACCGCTGTGCTATTGCTCCAGCCCCCAAGTGCTTATTTTTAATTCTAGAAAAAGTACCGGTTTATAAGCTAATGGTATTAGTCTAAGAAAGAGGGAATAAATGATAATGTAGGAGAAACGGTTGTGACTGGATGATGTTTTCGAGTCAACAAGAGGGTGTTGCAGGGTGAGAGATTACTCAAGAACACACTAGCCAAACTGAAGAATCTTTATTAACCTGCAGAGGCTGCAGAGCCTGAGAGCAAGGGTTTCAGCGCACTGAATAGCTTCAAGCCTAACTCCAGGCAAAGTTTTTAACTCATTCTTTTTTTGGGGGGGGGTCACACCCAGCAATGCACCGAGGTTACTCCTGGCTCTGCACTCAGGAATCACCCCTGGGAGTGCTCAGGGGACCATATGGGATGCTGGGAATTGAACCCGGGTTGGCCAGCCCCTTAACTCATTCTTATAACATCCTGCTTGGCAGCATCAAGCAGCTTTCTTCTAAATAAGCAAGCAAGCAAGCAAGCAAGAAAGCATAATTTAGTGGAGAAGCAAGATGTGCCAGGTTAGGGGCTGGAGCAATAGCACAGCGGGTAGGGCGTTTGCCTTGCACGCAGCCAACATGACCGACACAGGTTCAATTCCCAGCACCCCATATGGTCCCCTGAGCACCGCCAGGGGCAATTCCTGAGTGCATGACCCAGGAGTAACCCCTGAGCATCGCCGGGTGTGACCCAAAAAGCAAAAAAAAAAAAAAAAGATGTTCCAGGTTAGCCTTGAATAGTTAAACAACTTTTCTACTTGGCAACTGAGAAGAACAATGTGTGATAGTTATTTGTCTAAACTCAGGTTATTCTCAGGGCATTTTATTTCTATGTCCTTGGAGTGTCCCATCCTGTTACTCAGGTATTCTTTCAAGCCACCAGCTTTCTCTGGTAACTTTGGGTCACCTCGTCACAAGGAGGGAATGAGATCAGGTGTTTGTGCAGATAGAGGGGCTATTCTTATATGAATGTTGAGCATTTCATATTAATTGGAGGGAATGTCAACGCAGATTCCAACCTTTTATGTGGATATATATGAGGTGAGAGATTGGGAAGTTGTTTTGGGAATGGGGAGGCACACATCTGCGGTGATGTAGGTCCTTGTGGAGGATGGAGCTAGGGTAGAGCAAGGAGCCATCTCGTCCAGAATGTTCTGCTGAATTGCCTCTCTTTCCTTCCTTCCCTTCCTTTGTAGTTTTTTTTTTTCACTTTTTGGGTCACATCTGGCAATGCACAGGGGTTACTCCTGGTTCATGCATTCAGGAATTACCCCTGGCGGTGCTCAGGGGACCATATGTGATGCTGGGAATCGAACCTGGGTTGCAGGCAAACGCCCTACCCGCTGTGCTATTACTCCAGCCCCCCTTTTTTTCCTTTGTAGTTTTTGGGACATACCTGGAGATGTTCGGGTTACTCCTGGCTAGAGGGGGACCATATAGGCTGCTAGGGATAGAACCCTGGTCAGCCGAGTGTAAGGCAATACCTGCTATGCTATTAACCCAGTCCCTTACCCTGGATTCTTTTGGAGGTAAAAGGACTTCCAGTAAGAGTATAATCTAAATTTGGAAACTTGAGGCTAAAAGGCAATATGCAATAGTTCTTTTAAGAATATAAAGCTTGGAAACTTGATTTTAGGAAAAATAAAAGACATTGGCTTACATTTTCCACCCAGGTGGGTAAAATTTAACTTGTCTGTTCAACTTCTCAGGTGTTTCTTTAAGGGCTAACTAGAGATGATAGCTAACCTAGACTTTTTGTCAAATATATACATATAAAAGAATCTGAGAGTAGCAGTTATAACATTTAAATCCACGCATTTTAACATTTGAATCCACTTAACAATGATTTGCTTTTGCCCATCATTGTGATGTTTTACACTACCTTTAGTTTAACTCTCTGAGATAAAGCATTCACTGATAAGGAAGTTGAGCTTTAAAGAAATTAAGAGTCTTGCCTCAGGTTCCCAGGACAGATGGTTCAGTTTGTGGCTTCTGTTAGCTGTTAGGTATTCAGGTCCAAGACTCCTATTCTTTAGAGCTTTATTTTTCTTCTTCCTCTTTTTTTTTTTTTTTTTTTACTTTTTGGGTCACACCCAGGGATGCTCAGGGGTTATTTCCTGGCTCTGCACTCAGAGCAATGGTTGGAGGACTAAATGGGATGTCCGGATCGAACCCTGGTCAGCCTCCTGCAAGGCAAATGCCCTACCTCCTGTGCTATCGCTCTGGCCCTCTTCTTTCTTTTTGGCCACAGCCCAGGGTAGTGCTCAGGGCTTACTCTAGGCTCTGCTCTTAGGGATCACTCCTGGAAGTGCTCAAGAAACCATATGGGGGGCTGGAGTGATAGCACAGCGGGTAGGGCGTTTTCCTTGCATGCGGCCAACCTGGTTTGGTTCCTCCGTCCCTCTCAGAGAGCCTGGCAAGCTACCGAGAGTATCCCACCCTCACTGCAGAGCCTGGCAAGCTCCCGGCGACATATTCGATATGCCAAAAACAGTAACAAGTCTCACATGGAGACGTTACTGGTGCTTGCTAGAGCAAATCGATGAACAACGGGAGGAATAGTGCTACAGTGCTAAAATATCTGTAGGAATTGAAACAGAGAGGGATGATAAAACGTCATAAAAAAGGTGTCTAGTCTGCCAGAGTTTTTAAGAGAAAGGGTCTTACAAGTATTTTTTGGGGGGAAGGGCACACCAGGCAGTGTTCAGTGCTCAGGGATCATGCCTGGCTGGGAAACCATATGCGGTTCTGGGGGTCGAACCCAAGTGGGCCGGCATGCAAGTCTAACATGCTGCTCTGTCCCTCTGGTTCCTTACATATTTTGAAGGGCAGTTTCCGGAGTCCCTGATCCTTTGGCAAGTCTCAGAGAGGCGACCAGGGATGTGGCATCAATTCCTGAGGGGGACGTGGACAGAGACTGAACTTCAAAGGGTGGGGTGGACCTAGACAGGTGGTCGGAAGAGTACAGACTAGGAAGAGAGCCACAGGGCCTCGGCGGGTTTGTGCAATGGTCGGCGCAGGCCTCCCCCTTCCCCAACCTTCTTCCAGGGGAGGGGCTTGACGGTCCCGTGGGCGGCACTGGCTTCTGGGGGCGGGGTCACAGAGTGGGCTGTTCGGGGGCGGGGCTTGACGGCTCAGTAGGCGATTCCGGGGCGTGGTTATCTCCCAGGGGCGTGGCTACATGACAGGGCGTGGCCACCTTATGGGCAGGGCTATGTGTTAGGGGCGTGGCCACTTGAGGGGTCGGCGCTCACTGCCGTGCGGTGAGGGCGGGTGAGTCGTGAGTCGGCCTCCCGGGGGCGGGGCATGCAGCGAGTGGGCGGGACTTGCAGCGAGTGGGCGGTGCCTGGGGCGGGGCGGCCGCTGGGGGCGGGGCCACGCCGGGCGTTTCGAAAGCCTCGCGGTCGGTCGGCCCGCTGAGGCGCGCGTGCTGCGTGCGCCACCCGCGGAGCCGTTGCCGCTGCGCGGCCAATCGCGGCGGGTCTCGGGCCGCTTCTCGCGGGATCCGGGCCGCGCTCGACGCCTGTTCGCGCCTCGACGCCCCGCTGGCGGGGTCGCCATGGTTCACTTCTTGCACGCGAGTCAGGCGCCCCGTGTGATCATCCCCCCCGACGCCGAGAAGGATGCGCTGGGCTTCAGCGTGGTGCAGGTGAGCGGGGCGGGCCGGGCGGGCCCCGTCGGGGAAGCGCCGGCGGGCCGGCCCGGAGCGGCGGGAGCCGGGAAGTGCTGCGGGCGCGGGGCCCGCCCCCTGGCGACCCCGGGCGAGCCCGGCCCTGGGCCCCGACGGCCGCCGGTGTCAGCGCCGGCCGAGGGCCGAGGCCTGAGCCCCGGCCGGAGGGGCTGTGGCGCGGCCCGGAGCTGACCCCTCACGCCCCCAGCCGCCGTCGCGCCCGGACCTGCCTGCGCGGCGAACTGGAACCCCGAAGGCTTCCGACATCCCCTCGGTTCCACGGGCTCGCCCCGCCCCCGCCTCGAACGTTCGCTGGACTCGCAGCCGAGGGTTGGGCACCTCCTGCGTGTGTTAAGCGCGGCGAGTTGTGTCTCTCTCTGGCTCTCGCGTGCCCCTCGTTTTGGGGTCCCACCCGGCGATGCCCAGGGTTCACTCGCGGCTCCGCGCCCCCCTGGCGGGGACCGGGCGGGGACCCTCGCGGGGTTCCGGGCATCGAACTTGGCCCTGCCCGCGCGAGGCCGCGCTCCACTCGCTGGACTCGCTCGCTGGCGCCTGCCGTGGAGGAAAGTCGCCAGGCCTCGTAGCTGACTTGTGAACTCGAACTCAGGGGTTCTGATGGCAGGACCCCCGGTTTGGGCGCTCTGGGGCGCGGTGAAGGCGGCGAGTCTTCCCTCGCAGCGAGGGCCGAAGCGAGGAGGTCTTCTTGGATACCAGCGGCCCGTCGAAAGGCGGTTAAGTGTGAGCCAGCGTTTCCCTGCCCCCTCGTGCTCACTTTGAAGCCACGTGATTTGGGGGCCAGAGCGATGGTGTCGCATGGCCAGCTTGGGTTCCGTCCTCAGCATCCTCTCGTGTGGTCCCCTGAGCACCCCCAGAAGTGACCCTTGAGTACAGAGCCAGGAGAGTCCGCCCTCAGCACTGCCGGTGTGGCCCAAAGACTGACAAACGAAACAAGAAAAGTGTGACTTGTCAATTCATTTATAGCTAATGGAAAGACTTTAGTTTTCTTATTTTAAAAATGAGTTATTTGCAGCGTCAAGCGTATTTTGGGGGGGGCAGTGAGTTTGGGTCAGTATTCAGGGATCACTGCTAGTGGATTCAGGAATCATTCCTGCTGGGCTCAAGGGGACCATATAGACAGATAGCGAGATCATCTTATTTGTCCTTCTGGCTAATTACTTAAGGCATCTTCCAGTTCCATCCAAGCTTTAGCAAAATTGCTTGATTTTGTCTTTCTTTGCAGCTGCATGGTATTCCATTGTCTGTATATACTGCATCGTCATAATTCGCTCATCTGTCTCTGGACACCTAGATTGATATCTTTCTTAAATATTGTACTAAGTGCTGCAGTGAATGACATGCACATTTGCCCTTTTGATTGAATGCTTTTGTGTTCTGGAGGTAGGTACTCAGAAGTGGTATTGCTTGTTCATATGGCAGCTCAATTTTTAGTTTTCTGAAAAATCTTCAAAGGGGTTGAGCCAGACAGCATTCCCATCAGCAGTGGATGAGAATTTCTTTTTTTTTTTCTTTTTTACCAGATCCCCACCAACACTGGGTATTTTTGATATGAGGCATTCAAACTGATGTGAAAATGATTTGGGTTTCCGTAGTAATAATTGATGATGAGCATTTTTTCATGTGCCTATTGACTACCTGCATGTCTCCCTTTGAGAAATGCCTGTTTCTTCTCGGTTCGCCTGTGTTTCTTTTGCCACACAGAAACTCTTTAATTATAATTCAGTTAGCCCCACTCATTTATTTTTTCTTATAATTTATTTATATGAGACCTTTGCCAATGGCATCATATCATTGAAGACCACTTTGAGGTCCAAAGCTTGGAGGAATTTGCCTTTATTTTCCTCAGTGTGGTGTTTGTTTGTTTGTTTGTTTTTGGCCCACCTTGTGATGCTCAGGAGTTACTCCTGGTTCTGTATTCAGGAGCCACTCCTGGTAGTGATTAGGGACTATATGGGATGCTGGAGACCAGACATTTGTCAGCTGTGTGCAAAGCAAGTTCCTTACGCACTGCACTATCTTTCTTGCCCAGCATGAATTTACTTTCTATAAATAAATAATAAATAAATATCTTGTCAATGATGTATCATATTTTTTAGTATTCTACTTTTGCTATTCCCATGTTTATGTGGAAAAGTAATCTCTAGAAGTGTGTGTGTGTGTGTGTGTGTGTGTGTTTATCACACCCGGCAATACTCAAGGGTCCCTCCTGGCTCTGCATTCAGGAATTCCACATGCAAGGCAAGTGTGTCCCCCAAAGACTTCTAAGTTTTTAAGGGAAAATGCAGTTGCTGTAATCCCCTTGAGTGTAAGATGTTTGAAGAAATAATAGGTTTGGCCAAGGCAAGAGGATTGAAATTTCACCTTCACATCTGGAAGTGTTGGTTTTTGCAAGGAGTTGGTTGTATTTTCCGCTTAAGAATAATGAGGGGCTGGGGTATAACAAGAAGCCTGGAATGCAACCCTGGCATGCTGAGGGCCCAGGTTTGATTGCTGGCCATTGCGTGACCCTGGGAGCACTTGAGAGACTCCCCTGCCCTCTTACCCTTGAGTAATGACAAGATAAGTTCAGTTTCTAGTTACACTGATGGTGACATGACTAGTTTTTCTTAGTGAGAATCTGTCATCCTGAAATGGGTTTGAGGAACACGTAGAAGGCATACAGTCATTCTTTCTCGTGGGAGAGGGGATCCTGCAGGAATTCTAGCTGAGGGCTCAGGCCTGTCCACTCCCACTCTGGTCCTGCAGCTCGAGCCCAGCACCTCCTGTGAGAATTGTGATGTTGTCTACCGCTGAGCTCCATGCTGGCTCTCATTTGAAGTGTGTGATTGTGAGTTTACTATGATACACTCTTCTTTAGTGAATCTTACTCCCTCTCTAGAGATGACTAACCACTAGCTCTTGCCATTAAAAAGGTGTATATTTATTTCTGGAATAAAAGATTTGTCTGGAGAGTGTAACAATGGCAAGGACAACACAGAGTTGATATATTTGTTAAGTATAGGACCTTTTAGTAAGTTTAGGAGGGTTGCAGGCTGGAGTGATAACACAGTGGGTAGGGCATTTGCCTTGTCACGGCTGACCCAGGTTTGATTCCTTTGTCCCTCTTGGAGAGCCCGGCAAACTAGCAAGAGTATCCCACCCGCACGGCAGAGCTTGGCAAGCTCCCCGTGGTGTATTCAGCATGCCAAAAACAGTAACAAATCTCACAATGGAGACGTTACTGGAGCCTGCTTGAACTAATTGATGAACAACAGGATAGTGCTACAGTGCTACAGGATGGTTGAGAAATTTAATTTCATCCGTTGAAAATGGTACAGAAATGAGTAATTACTGCCTATTGGACCCTTTGGTAAAGAGAACTATCTCTGTTCAGCAGATCTCTGTTCATGTCTAGTATAGCCCCTGCCATCCAAATATTGTTGAACAAATACCAGTCTAGGAGGAGAAAGTTACTGTAGGTCTTTACTGTCTCGCTGCTCTGTTGGTTTTCTTTCTTCTCTGATAGGCTTGGTGTAATAAGCTTTCAAGTTTGTGGACTTTTTGTTTGTTGTGAGGCTATATCTGCTGGTTCGACAGGGACTCTCTGCCCAGTCCCCAGCACAGGTCATGCGCTCTTAAGCCACATACCCAGCCCCGCCTTTTTAAATTTGAACTCCAGGAAATGCCTAGGGGACCACATGCGGTACTGGGGAACAAACCCAAGTCCGCTCATGCAAGGCAGGAGCCCTGCTGTAGCTCTGTGCTGTCTCTCCGGCTCCAAGGTGAACATTGTTGAAGGTAAGAAAAAGAACTTTGTCTCATTATTCTCTGGCACTTGGTAATCACTGAATAAATAATCATTTAATGAACGTGATCACTGCTTGTATACCCCCACTTTTTGTATTGAAATGGTCACGTTTCTTGCTTTCCTGTTAATAAATTTTTAGCTCCAAAATATTAGAAATATGTTACTCATCTCTGAATTTTCAGTGGCTGGCACAAGGCAGGTGGTAAGTGAAAGATTGCGAAGACTTACTATTTTTTCCTTCAAAAAATAGTACAGCAGAGGCTATAGCTGAAAAAATCTTCCATTTATTAATAGATGAAGGCCAGGGATATGGCTCAGTGGTAGAGGGCGTGCTCTGTACACGGAAGGCTTTGGGACAAATCTCTGGAACTATAGAAAATGAGCCCAGGAGGGGGCATTGTGGAATATGGCCCAGTGGCTAAGCGTTGCAAGTGTGAGGCCGTGCAGTCAATCTCTGGTGTTTCCATGAGTACGGAGCATGAACCTGGCAGTTTTGCTGTTTGTGCCTGGCAGCTCTGCCATTCTAGATCCTTAACATCCGAGATTGTCTCCAGCTGAACTGTGTAACTAAGGTGTGTGTGAGCTCCACAGCTAAAGTGGGATTCTGGCGAGCACAGCTCTAAGTATCCCAGCATCACAACCAAGTGTGTGTGTAGCCACTGGTCGTTGTAGCAACAGCATCAGCAAAGGGGAGAGAAGGGGAAAAGAATGCAAATAATTACAGTTTAATATAAACCCATATTTTTGTTTGGTGGTGCTCAGGGGTTACTGGTGGCTCTGTACTCAGGAATTATTCCTGATGGTGCTTGAGGGACCATATGGATTGCTGGGGAATCGAACCCAGGTCAGCTGTGTACAAGGCAAGCACCTTACTCACTGCACTGTTTCAGCCCAAATCCATGTAAAGCATCATTAGAGTAAGGAGAAGGTGTCTTCAAGTATCTGCTTCAGGAGTGTAATATATGGCCAGAAAGTTTGGGGGGACCACACCTGGTGATGCCGAAGGACTGTTTCCCACATCTGGGTTTGAGGATCACACCCAGCTATGCTTGTGCTTGAGGTGGGGCCGTGCTGTGCCAGGGATCAAACCTGGGTCTCCTGCATGCAGAGCACGCACTCACCCCATTGACCTCGCTCTCCAGTCCTAACATGACTTTCATTTATTTATTTTTGTTTTTTGGTCTTTGGGCCACACTTGGAGGTGTTCAGGGCTTACTCTTGACTCTGCCCTTGGGGATCACTCCTGGTGGGCTCGGAGGACCGTATGGGACACTGTGAATTGAACCCAAGTTTGCTGCTTGCTTGCAGGGCAAACACCCTGCCGGCAGTACTATTGCTCCAACCCCTCTTTGCGGGTTTTCCATGTGTTTTGTGTTCCCTTCCTCCTGCTCCCTGTTACTATTGTGATGAATGGTTTACACACCTTCCTGGCTACAGTATTCCCTAAGAATCACATCACTTGTGGTTCTTGCACACTTGGCCAGTGCTCACTGAGATTTGCACTTTTTTAGCTATGGTTCTCACCAGGAGTTGCATCCCACCCCCCCTTTTTGTGATCTTACACACAAGTCTCACATTGGAGACGTTACTGGGCCTGCTCGAGCAAATCGATGAACGATGGGAGGACAGACAGACAGACAGACACACCTGACCATGGCTGGAAATCATTTGTGGTGCTGGGGGTGGGAGATGGGAGCTGCTAGGGTTGTCGTGCTCAGTGCAGGCGGGTGCTCGGATTTGAACTCATCACCATCCGCTTGCAAAGCAGAGGCTCTAAGCCCGATGTTCAGGTTTTGCAGAAGTATTCTAACAAATTTTTTCGGTTTTGTTTGCTAGGAGGAGGCATCTCCATATTCATTGGTCAGCATTTGCCTGAACACTCTGATAGTGAACCTGGAGAAATTATGTTCTGAAAGACCTGATGGAACTCTGTGTCTTCCGGAGAATTGGAGTTTCCCTCCGGAAATAGCTGATCGATTCCTTGGGATGATGTCATGGCAAGGTAATAAGGCTCCTCTTATTAGTGTATTTATTTTATTTTATTTTATTTTATTTTGGACTATACCTGGCAGTGCTCAGGGATTACTTCTGGTTCTGTACTCAGGAATTACTCCTGGTGGGATGCTGGGGATCAAACCCGTGTCAGTCATGTACAAAGCAAACACCCTACCCGCTGTACTATCGCTCTTAAAGTGTATTTCTTAAAGAATGGGCACATGTGTTTATTGGCTGTCCCATAGCAGTAGGAGGCCTTTAGCCAGGTCCTATCCAGTAGCCTAGACCTGGGGACAGTGGAACCTTATCTCTCAAAGACTGTTTTTCAAGAGAGTAGAGTGAAAAGTGGGATACAGAAGTGTCAGGCCTGGGAGATAGTTCAAAGGGCCGGTGTGCAGGCTTTGCATGCAGGAGGCTAAGTTCAATCTGTGTCACTGCATGGTCCCTGGATGCCACCAGGAGCATCTCCTGAGTTCAGGCCCCAATAAAGTACCAGAAAAGGAGCTCAGGCATCTCAGGCTAGCCTCCTGCCACCCACCATGCTTCCCCAAACTCAGGCCCTGACATGGCCTATCAGCTGGTCACCCAGACTGACATATTATGCATCTTCCACTACCTAGTGGGGGTAGGGAGCAGCTGGGGGCTCGGGTTCTGCTTCTCATGTGTCTTCGGCATTCAGTTCTCACTCTGAGACCCTCAGACCTCTTAGGCTCCCCAAGCACTCACCCAGCAGTATGTGCAGGGCCTGAGTGTGTGGGGTCAGGCCCAGGTGTGCAGAAATGCAGGGTTTCTCTACAGAGCAGCCAGCAGGGGACTGTGGGGGGGCCCAGGTCAGAGGTGCAGGTGCAACAGTTGACAGCATCTGAGTAGGAGTCAGGCTGGTGCTGTGGCCCAAGTGCAGCCTCCTGGCAGCTGTGCTAAGTGACAGTGAAAGTTCTGACAGCAGTGGGTGTACCATGGCCACCCTGCCAAGCAACACGTGTTGGCCAGGGAGGAAGGGGAGCAGTCCTTGTTCAGGGAGTTCCCAGAGGCCTTTGTGGTGTCGTTGCCGATATTGTCACACGATACGTCTGCCCAGTCAGAGTTGATGATTGGTACAGGAAAGACCCCACCACCCACCACCCATGCCCCGGGCTCCTGTTGGCTCTGCAGCCAGTGGCACTGCCAGGAAAACCTTTATTGGAGGGGGCTCTGGTGCCAACGTGGGTCTCTCGATGCCCGAGAAGTCTGCCCTGTTCTGGTCCTTGCTAAGTCCTGGTTCCTCTGCTTGCTCCCTCTCCACCCCCACACCTTCCTGGAATTTTTTTTTTTAAGTTAAAAACAGATTTTATTTGGAGGTTTTTAGGAAGAGGAAGGAGAGAGAGAAAGTGAGAGAGAGTAATGTACTCAAGAGAGAACACAGGCTTCTCCAGAGAGGGAGAAAGCTCCTGCACACATGAAAGTTCACATCTCAAGGGGGAAGATGCAGGCGATACATGTGTTCAAGTGCCACATGTGCTCAGCCACATGGGTGCAAGCAGCTCATGGGCTTAGGCAGCATATGCGCCCCTTCTGGAATTTTAGCATTTTGCTATATGAGAAGCACTTCTTTGTACAGGTCCTGTTCGCTCCTCACAACTGCCCTGTGTGAAATACAGGAATTGCTTCTACTTGTGTGGAGGTTGAGTTTCCAAGTATCTGGGATTCCTTGATGGAAGTTCTCTTGTTTCTCGACTTGCTTACTCTGCTATTGACCTAGAGTGAAGATACTGAAGAACCTAATTCATCAAGTTCTCTCTAGCTTGTGACACACTGTTAGTCTTCCACATTTTATTTATCCATTCATTTGCTAGCGAACATTTCCCTTGTTTCTACATTTTGTCTCTTAGGATGAATGCTACCCTAAATGTGTATTTGTGTACACATTTTTGTGTGATTTCTTTTTATCCTCACTCTCTGCCCCTCTGTCTCTCTTTTTGAGAAAAATGGTCACACTAGGTGATGCTCAGGAATCACTGGCTTTTCACTGAGGAATCACTCCTAGCGGTGTTCAGGGAACCATATGGGGTGCTGGGGATCGAATCCAGGTTGGCCGTGCATACGACGCCCCACTGTAGCTCAGGCCCCTCTGTGTGGTCTCTATGTGGATATATGTTTTTATTTCTCTTGGGTATATACGTTGAACAGAGTCACTTGGTTACATGGTAATATTTAATTTTCTGAGGAGATTGCAAATTGTTTCCCAAAGTAGCTGAGCCATTTTGCATTCCCACCAGCAGTGTACAAGAGTTCCATTTTGTCCACAGTATCTTATGTGGCCTTTTAAAAATACAGCTGTCTAAATACTGAAGTATGGTATCTATTGATTTTTTCCCCCCACACCATTGATTTCTCTCCACCCTAATGCTGCTTTTCAGTTATGTTTGCTGGGTTGTAGCCCTTTTTGTGGGTCTCACACACACTTGACTGAGGTGTGAGTGGAAGTTGCTTGTGGTATTTGGGATCACAGGTCGTAGGACTGTCAGGCTTAGACAGCAGATTGCCCAGCCCTTGTTCTGTACCTGAGGGACCCTGGGACTTCAGCTCATGACCATATGCTGAGAAGGCAAGGGCTCTGAGCGATACTCCATTTCTCTGGGCCTTTTGGGAGCACAGTTTAGGTCACCAGCAGAGCTCACATTTTACTCCTGACTCTGCTTAGCCATCACTCTTGAGGGTGCTTGGGGAGTCTTGGTCCTCTTTCTAAGTACGGTATTCTTTTGATACTGTCATACATGAAGTTGCTCTTTCACTTTGGATTATTTGTTCTTAGTATAAGAGATGCGCGTGCGTATGTGTGTGTGTGTGTGTGTGTGTGTTGCTGGGCATCATACTCGGGGTCTTAGACAGACGAGGCTGTTCGCTCTACTTCTGAGCCACCAGCAGCCCCTATAATTGTTGTTGATCATTTTTGGGAACCTCCTGAGTTTACTTATTCTTATAGCTGGTTACCAGAGTCATAAAATGTTCCCTATATAAATAAGATCATGCCTCTTGCAAATATAGTGGGCTGGAGCGATAGCACAACGGTAGGGCATTCGCCTTACAAGTGGCCAACATGACCGACCCAAGTTTGATTCCTCCGCCCCTCTCGGAGAGCCCGGCAAGCTACCGAGAGTCTTCGATATGCCAGACACAGTAACAACAAAGTCTCCAATGGAGATGTTACTGGGCCCGCTCGAGCAAATCGATGATCAACGGGAGGGCCTTTACTTACTTTACTTTACTTACTTACTTCTTATTTGGATCTCCTCCCTTCCTCCCCCCTCCCTCTTCATACACAGCAGTGCTCAGGGCTTACTCCTGGCAGGCTCTCGGGCTATATTGGGTGCCATGGATGGAGCCTGGGTCTGCTGTGTGTAAGGCAGGTGCCCTATTTGCTGTACTTTCTCTCCAGTCCCACTCATTTGGATTTCTTTTCCTTCATTTTCTTGATTAATTTTCCTGGTAAGATGTTGAGGTAGCAAGAGTACCAATTCTGGACCTTTAAAATGATCTTTGGGAAGCATTTAGTCTTCTTTGCTTTTGCTTTTTTCGTCACGCCCAGTTGTGTTCCAAGTTTCTCCCTGCATGCTGCTTCTGCAGGGTATGTGCTCAGCCTTTAGACCTGTCTCCCCAAACCCCCTTTCTCCCTTGGGTTTTGGGTCACACTTAGCAAAGTGCTAATGGACCTACTTCGAGGACTCTGAGACTGCTTTTGGGGTTGCTCCTGACTGAGTGCTCAGAGCTCTGCTGGTTGTGCTCAGCAGATAATGTGCTGCCAGGGATCCAACCCCTGGATCTTGCACGCAGAGTACTAACTCCAATCTTTTGAGCTAGCTCCCTTGCCCCGAAGCATCTGATCTAAAATCACTAAATGTGATGATAGCTCTTTATTTTTATTTATTTATTTATTGAATCATCGTGAGCTGCAGTTACAAAACTTTCATGTTTGAGTTTCAGTCATACAATAATCGAATACCCATCCCTCCACCGGTGTACATTTTCCACCACCAGTGTCCCTAGTATCCCCCCACCCCTCCAGCCCCACCCCTCCCCTTGCCTTTATGGCAGCCAATTTCCCTCTTTCTCTATTTATGGGTGTTATGGTTTGCAATACAGATAGTGCAAGGCCATCATGTTTGGTCCTTTATCTACTTCAGCACACATCTCACATCCTGAGCAATCCCTCCAACCATCATTGATTCAGTGATCCCTTCTCCATCCCAGTTGCCTTCTCCCCTAGCTCATAAGGTCAGCTTCCAACCATAGCGCAATCTTCCTGGCCCTAGTCTCTACTGCCCTTTGTTGTCAATCTCATGATATTTTATATTCCAAAAATGAGTGCAGTCCTATGTCTGTCCCTCCCTTTCTGACTCATTTCACTTAGCATGATACTCTCCATGACCATCCACTTATAAGTAAATTTCATGACTTCATCTTTCCTAACAGCTGCATAGTATTCCATTGTATAGATGTACCAAAGTTTCTTGAACCATCATCTGTTCTCAGGCACTTGGATTGTTTCCAGATTCTGGTGATTGTGAACAGTGCGATATGAATGTACAGGTGCAGATGTCATTACTGCTGTGCTTTTTTGCACCCTGTAATATATTCCCAGAAATGGTATTGCTGGGTCATATGGAAGCTCAATTTCTAGTTTTTTAAGGGATGCCCATGTTGTTTTCCAAAAAGGATAACTCTATATTCTTTTAAGTACCCTTAACAGAGGAGCCTATTGAATGTTTTTATCACAAGGCTATCGGTTTTTCATGTATCTGTTGAAATGCTCATGTGAGTCTTAGTCTACTAATATTATATTAATTGATTTATTGGATATTAAGCCAGTCCTGCTTTACTGAGATAAATTCCACATGGTCATGGTGTGTAAATCTATTTTTGTTTTGGGGCCACTCCTGGCTCCAAGGCTGTTCCTGGCAGTACTCAGGTTGTATGCAGAACTTGGGATCCAGTCCGGGCCTCCTGCATGCAGTATATGTTTTCAGCCTGTGGGACCATCCCTCTGGCCCCATGCTATGTAACTCTTTAAAATTTTTTTGGGGGGTGGAGTTTTGAGTCACACCTGGCTTAGTGTTTGGGGACCATCAGTGCTTGGGGACCATGTGCAGTGTTAGGCATCCAACCTGCCTCAGTCACAAGTGAGAGGAGTGCCCCTCCCCTGTACCATGTCTCCATGATACATATTCTCTTGATGTGTTCGGATGACGAACATACCCAGCTTTGCTCAGGGATCTCCAGGCCGGCTCCTGGGGGCCATGACTTACTGGGGATCAGATTTGGGTTGTGTGTGTGCAAGGCAAGCACCTTACCTGCTACACCATCTTTGTGGTCCCTTTGGTGAAAATGTTTGCAGCCTTAATTTTAAGGGCTAGTCTGTGGTTTCTTTTCTTCTAATGCTTTATCTGCCTTGGTTGAGAATAATACTGATTCACGGAGTTGAGAAGTTCTTTCCCACTCTTCTTTGGGAAGAGAGTTTGGGAAGAATTAATACTCGTTTCCGTTTTTGTGGAGGAAGTTGGGTCGCACCCTGAGATGGTCAGAGCCTATTCCTCACTCTGTTCTCAGGAGTGATCCCTGGTAGTACTGGGGGGATCATATGTTGTGTTGAGGATACAGCTTGGTTTGGCCACAAGCCAGGCAAGTACCTTTTCTTCTATTCTGTCTCTACTACCCAAGAATTCACCTGTAAAACTGGCATCTTTATGAGTAGTCTTTAGATGATGAATTAAATCGATTTACTTGGATATATCTTTTAATACTTTCCCCATTAGCCTAGGGCCTCAGTGCAAGGCAGGTAAGTGTGGCTGGGAATAGCCCTGTGACCTGGCGATCCTGGGTACCACAGGACCCAGCAGCTTCTCATTCTCAGGCCTTTGCATGGAACACTCAGACCTGGCTGGCTGAGTACTCCTGGGAGTCGCCTGCATTGCCTGAGCAAGGCTCCCTTCCAAAACAAACAGAAACAGCAAGGGCTAGGGGGGTAACTCAGGTGAGGGGGCACACCTTCCTACCCAGGTTCCATCCCCAGCGCCATGCGGTTTCCTGTGTGGAGGGCTTTCCTCAGACTGGAACCCCAAGGGATACACGCGGCAGGAGAGTTGACCAAATAGCAACATGTTTTAGCAAGAGCAGAGTAGGAGTTTATTAGAGAATATATTGGCTATGGCCAAAGAGATAGTACAGGAGTTAAGGTGCGTATCGTGTTTGTTGTCAATCCTGGTCCCATCCCTGGCAGTGCAGGGTCAGGACTAGCATCTGAAGGCTGCAGGAAAGAGAGTAAGATGGTCAAGGGGCCACAGTGGAGACCTTCCAGAGAAGAGGAGGGCATAGCTCAGGGAGCCTTTTATCTTTCTTAGACATTTTCCCCTAGGAGCCCTCTTGTGGGGAGGGAGTGAGTCTAGGGGAGTAAGTTCAGAGGGTTTGAGTGGGAAGGGCCAGTGTATTTATCCCATGTGTCACTGTTCCAAGTCACAAACCGGGGGAAGCCAGGGGAGTTTCCCTGGGGAACTTGGTCAGCCCACTTCACTGAGCACCTCTGGGAGTGGCCCTTGTGGTCCCTGGCTCTTCTGGCCCTGAGCAGCACTTCTTCATGAGGACTGACCGGGCCCCATGAGCACTGCTTTTGAGGTCTCCAAACAGAAACAGCCAGCATAAAGTAGGTAAAGTGGGTCACCATTGTAGATCGTGCTGTCAGCATGCCCTTCAGTCACAGTTTCTGTCTTTCAACCATAGAGCATATTTTGTCAGAGGTAAAATATATTTTTTCTGGGGCTGAAGAGAACTAGTACTGAAGTTAAGTTTCTTGCCTTGTATATAGTTCAAATCCTAGCTCTGCATATGATACCCTGAGCACTGCCAGGTGTGACCTCTGAGCATGAGAGTCAGGAGTAAGACCTGAGCATCACTGAAAGTGTTATAAAGACCTTCCCTCCACCCCCTCGAAATATATATGTATGTGTGTGTGTGTGTCACACACACATATGAAAATAATGAAAATTAGGCAATTTTTGCTCTGAACTCAATAATTAGTTTCTTAGCTTGAGTTTTCTTTCTCCTGGATTTGTGCTCTGGGCTCTCTTCTTACTACGTTCAGGGACCATGTGGTGCCAGATTGAAGCACAGTCAGCCTTGGGCAAGGCAAGCACCCTCTTTGCTGTACAGTCTAGCTGTTTTTATAGCCTGTTTCTGGTTCTCTTTTAGGAAAGCTGACTGACAGAACAGCAAGTGTTTTCCAAGGTGACCAAATAAAGCTGAAGCTAGTCAATATTCAGAAAGCCAGAATTTCTGCAGCCACCTTCTCCAAGACCTTCTGCCACCACAAGCTCCTGGAACTGAATGCCACTGCTGTGCACAGCGACCTCCCTGCCCCAGACATCGTCCGCGGGCTCTGCAGCAGCAGTTGGGCGCAGAGGAACCTGCGGGGTCTCGCGCTAGACTCTGCCAGTGTCCCCCGAGAGTCAGGGCTGCTGCTCTTCGGCCAGCTCACTGGGCTCCGCGTTCTCAGTGTCTTCAACATGTGTTTTCATAGTGAAGACCTGGCTTGTGTGTCCCAGCTCCCCAGACTGGAGAGCCTCGATATCTCCAATACGCTGGTCACCAACATCTCCGCACTCCTGGCCTGCAAGGACCGCCTCAAGTCGCTCACGATGCACTACCTCAAGTGCCTGACCATGACGAAGGCGCAGGTCCTCGCCGTCCTCAGGGAACTGAAAGGTCTGCTCCATCTTGATATTTCTGACCACAGGCAACTGCGGTCCGACCTGGCTTACCTCTTGCTGCAGCAGAAGAATATTCTTCCTAATATTGTGTCCTTGGATATTTCGGGGGGCAGCTACATCACCGATAGAGCTGTGGAACAGTTTATCCGGCAGCGGCCTGCGATGCGTTTTGTGGGACTCTTGGCCACAGATGCCGGCTATTCTGACTTCTACGCTACCAAGCCAGGCCTGAGGGTTTGTTGTATTTCCTAAAATCAGTTTGTTCCATTTGTTCAGGGCATTATTAAGCTTTTGCTATAATCACCAGGATAAATCATTTGGAAGGAGCGTAATAATCACAGTGCTCCTGGTCTGTGCGGCAAGCAGAGGGTGGAGAGCCTCAGACAAGACCTTGGCTTCCCTGTTGTCTAGTCTGGCCTTAGCTTGGCAGCAATGCTGCTGCCAGGCGGTGCCTGCTGTTTCCGGCTCTCCTCCTCCACTTTCCAGAAGATGCCAGCACAGCCCAGAGAAGTTAAGCCACTTACTCACAATCATGGAACTATGAAATGATAGACATAGGAACTGCACCCAAGTCTTTATGACTCCGAAATACTTTGCTTTTTACATGCTAATAGCTAAGTGTACAAAGGCACATTGTTTATATAGCCAAAACTTTTTTTGGTGAAGGTATAACAGAAAGCTATTTTACAAAGAGCCTTAAGAAAAAAAATTTGAACATTGTTGCGATACATTTATGGCATATCCTCTTGTAGTTCTGATTTTGATGGAAAAATATCTTGAAATATATTTCTAGCTTTATTTTTTAATTGTATTTTGGGACCATCGGGCTTAATCCTGGCTCCGTGCTCAGGGGTCACTTCTGATGGTGCTTGGGGGACTGTATGTGGAACCTGGAATTGGGTCAGCTGTACAAGGCTGGCCTTACTATCCCTCCAGCTCTCATCAGACTTTCTGATCTCGATTAAGCATCTTCCTGATTTTCACCTTGACTTAGCTTTACTGTAGTGATTACAGAGTGAGATTTTTTTGATGTCAGCCTTCCCTCCTACATTGAGCAGTGGGCATTCTATGTAAGAAAAGCTCCTCCTTTGCCAACTATCTGATGTCTTGATATGGTTCACTATTGATTTTGTGTGTGTGTGTGATTTATAATTCATTGCTTTCCTTAGTAAACAACTTTTTTGTTTGTTTTTGGGCCACATCTAGTGGTGCTCATGACTGACTCCTGTTTCTGTGCTCAGGAGTCATCACTCTTAGTGGTGCTCACCAGGATGGGGGCAGCCATACACAGTACTGGGGATCGAATCATGGTCACAGCTAAATTCAAGGCAAGTGCCTAACCTCTGTGGTCCTTTTAATTGTTTTGCTTATTTTATATTTATTTATTTTGGTTTTTGGGCCACATCTGGCTGTGCTCTGGGCCATGACTCTGAACTCAGGGCTCACTCCTGGCAAGCTTGGGGGCTGTATGGGGCACCAGGGATGGAACCCAGGTCAGCCACATGCAAGGCAAGCATCCTACCCACTTCACTATCTCTCTGACCCTTTTTATTTCTTTTTAAGGCCATATCATGGGGTATTTGGGATCTGCTCCCAGCTCTGTGCTCAGGAGTCATTCCCAGTGGTACCCAGTGAGAGCAGGCGGTGCCAGAAATTAAACCTGGGCCCTCTGCTTGCAAAAGCATGTGCTTAACCTGTTGAGCTATCTTTCTGGCTCCTGTCCTTAATTTGAAACAATAATTGTATTTAATTTTGGTTTGGAGGCAGCACCTGGCCGAGCTCAGAAGCTTCTCCCAGAGTGTTGCTCAAGGCTGCTTCCTGGTGGTGCTTGGAGGACAGTGCGGTGCTGGGGATTGAGCCTGGGCCACTGACACTCAGAGCATGTGCTCAACCCTTTGACCTGTAGCCCAGCCCTGATTTTAAACCTGTAATTACCCTTTCCTCCTTCCTTTTTTGCTGCTGTAATACTGTAGGTCACACTGTAGTTGTACTCCCCAAAGTGGTGCCCTGGTTCTGGTTGCCTGTATGTGTGTGTGTGTGTGTGTGTGTGTGTGTGTGTGTAGGAGATTACACCCAGAGTTGCTGTGCTGGGGTCTCAGACAACAGACCTGCACATGTGGGTCACACTTGCAGTCTCACCACCAGCAAGGTGGGCATTTTTGCCATTGAGCCATCATAAAACAGATAGGGGTCCCTAACTGTTTTCGTCATTTGATCACTTGACTTCCCGTTAATCGTCGATTTGCTTGAGCAGGCACCAGTAACGTCTCCATTTGTCCCTGTTGCGTGCTAGTGTAGTCCAGTGGTGTCTGTTCGTTCTAGGAACACGAAGAGCCTCAAACCGATCATTCATGATCTTGATGAAGAAGTCTGACCATCTGGTAGGTGGGCGGCCACGCGGTCTTTTGACGTCCCGTGGAATCCAGTCGGTAATGGCTCTAGTCCAGCAGTCGTCTCTAAATCTCATTACGTGACCAGCCCATCTGATTTTTGACGCCTTGGTAAACGAGACGGCATCCCTGATTCTTGACCATCGAGGAGGTCCGAACTCTGGATTCTTTCTCTCATTTGAGTGAAACATGATACTCCAAGCATAGCTCTTTTAATTCCTCTTTGGGAGACCTGAATAGCGTTCTCATCCTGTTTGCGTAGGGCCCAGGTCTCTGAGGCGTATGTTAATGCAGGAAGGACAGTGGAATCAAAGAGATGTGCCCGGAGCCGGAGCCGGAGGTTCTTTGTCCTCTTAGCTATTTCTTCGACGCTCTTGAAGGCATTCGAAGCTGCTCTCGTCCTCCTGCGCAGCTTGGGTGCCAGGTCATTTGTCATGTTGACTTCTCGACCTAGGTACACATAGCTGTTGCATTTGGGTTCCGTTGAGAGCGAATGGGGCATCAGGAACGAGGCTGTTTCTCATAAACATTGTCTTCGTAAGATTCACCTGTAGTCCGACCATTCCACACTCACGGTTGAAGTCAGCCAGCATTTGTGCCGCTTGGCTAATGTTTGGTGTTATTAAAACAATGTCATCAGCAAAGCGGAGGTGATGTAGTTGCCGACCATCTATCTTTACTCCCATTCCTTCCCATTCCAGTCATCGCATGATGTTCTCGAGGGTGGCACTGAAGAGTTTTGGTGAAATGGTATCACCCTGCCGAACCCCTCTCTTGACATCAATGATTACTTCTTTGTAGAATGGTGAGATCCTGGTCGTGAATCCGTAATACAGCTCACTGAGGATCCTGATGTATTGAGTTTGAATGCCCTGATTGGCTAGGGCTTCAAAGACCGCTTCCATCTCAACAGAATCAAAGGCCTTCTTTAAATCAGTGAACGTTAGACAGAGCAGTATCTTGAACTCCCGAGAAACCTCAGTGTGCGTGGTTATCGTGTGGATATGGTCGATGGTGCTGAATCCTTTGTGGAACCTGGCTTGCTCGCATGGTTGTCCTTCATCTAGTGTTCTGCCAATCCTATTCAGGATGCCTCGAGTGAACAACTTGTAGATGACAGACAATAGGCAGATCAAGCGATAGTTGTCAGTGTCGTGGATGTCTCCCTTCTTGTACAGTAGTACAGTCCTGCTGGTTTTCCATTGGAACGGAACCTTGCATTCAGACAGGTAGCATGGGAAGAGCCGAGCCAGCGTATTGATGAGTGCTGATGGCAGGTTCTTCAAGTGTTCAGGTCTGACCTTGTCTGGTCCAGATACTGTTTGTTTCTTTACCGACGAAATGGCAGGTCAGATTTTGGAAGGGAGAATGTTGGGAACGACATATCCATCCTGTGGAATTTGGTATGTCAGCAGGTGGACATGGCTATCAAAGAGATCTGAGTAGAAGTCATGGTTAATCTTCTCCATTGCCCTTCTGGAAGATGTGATGGATCCATCAGGACGTTGGAGGGCAGTCATCTTGGTCTTATAGTTGGCGAAGGACAGGCGGGCGTTACGAATACTTTTCCTGGCTTCTGCCACATCTACCAGCACTTCTGCTCTTCTCTCTTTGAGGTCTTCCTTGATCACATCTCTGCACTGCTTTGCGAGCTCTGACATTCGCTTGCGGTTGCCTGGGGCATGCGCCAAACCACGTTGGTGAATAAGCTCAAGAGTTTTCGAAGACAGGTGTTTTTTTGTGGCTCTCTCTTGGCGTTCCTCGCACAATCGTGGAGGTGCTGAACCAGTCGATTGTATTCCTCGTCAATGTTGTCAACAATGGCATCTTCCCATGTTGCAGCAAAAGTGCCAAAGAGCTCCCAGTTGGTGGTCATTCTGGGAGTTCTCTTAAACTTTGCAGCCCTTTCTCCCCGCTCTGTGAAGTAGAATTTTGCACGAAGGAGACGGTGGTCTGATCTTGTTTGGAATTTTGGGACAACAGTGACATGGGTCAGGCAAAACCATCGATTGAATATGATGTGGTCAGTTTTGTTGTGTAACCGCCAGCCGGGAGACTCCCATGTCCAACATTTAGATTTGGCCTTCTGGAACTGTGAGTTACCATGGATGGTCTTGGTCGACATGATGAACTCAGACAGTCTCTCACCCTGTTTGTTCCATTCTAGGCCATGGGTCCCAATGTGGAGTTCTTCAGCTGATCTTCTCAGTCCTATCTTGGCATTAAAATCACCGACAATGATCTTATAGAAGGTGTGGTCTTCTTTATAGAACTTTATAGAACTTTTTCTTTATAGAACAGTTTTTATGCTCAAAGTTTTTGGTGGAGCCACTGCTGCCCTGTGCACACCTAGATCACTTCTAAGGGTACTCCACGGCCTGTGAGGTTCCAGGGACTGAACTTGGACCTCCTGTATGAAAAGCTTGTGCTTTTGCCTGTTGGAGTCACTGTCTGGCCTTGAGCTCAAATTTCTGTTTGTTTACTTTTTTTGGTCTTTGAGCCGTGCTTGGTATGACTTGGGGGCTACCCCAGCTCTGTGCTTGGCAAGGGCAGTATTTGGAGGACCTTGTAGTGTCAGGGATTGAACCCAGGGATCTGCCACATGCAAAGCTTGTGTTCTGAGGTGATCTTCCTGGTTGTTCCTTTTCTCTTTTTCTTCCTTTCTTCCTTTTTTTAAAACTTCTTTGTGTGTATGATGGGGTGAGGGAGGGTGGGGAGCACCTCGGTGGTACTCAGGGCTTACTCCTGGCTCTTGGCTCAGGGGTCACTCCTGGCGGGTCTTGTGGGACCATAAGTTGTGCCAGAGATTGCACTCGGGTTGGCCACTGAGACAAATGCCCTACCTGCTACAAAGTGGGTACTATTGCTCTGGAAGGGATTCCCATCTTTTCTGAGGTAGAATTTTATTTTATGTACATAGCACATTTTGTTTATCTGTCAATGGTGGTAATTTGGGTTACTTTCATGTTTTTCCTGTTATGAGTAATGCTGTTAGCAACATGGATGTATAAATATCTGAAGTCTTTGTTTTCATGCTTTTAGTTAAATAACTAGAATTATAATTGTGAGATGACATGGTAATTCTGTTTTCACTTTTTGAGGGGACTTTTGGTTGGGGGCTGTAACCAGCAGTGCTGAGGGCTACTTCTTGGTGGTACTTGAGGGACTAAGTATTGCAGTGTTGATATAAGGGATAGAACTGAAGGCTCCTGTGTGCAGAAGATGTGCTCCGGCTCTTTGAACTTTCTTCCAGACCTTCTTTTTTTCCTTTTTGGTCACACCTGGAGCTGCTCAGGGTTGCTCCTGGCTCTACACTCAGGAATTGCTCCTGGCGGTGCTCAGAGGACCATATGGGATGCCAGGATTGGGTCTTTGGCTGCAAGGCAAACACCTTCTCCACTGTACTAGTGCTCTGGGCCTATTTTTGTGAGCTATCACTACTGTGCTTTCTCTAGCAGCGGTACATGTTCTATATTCAGCCAGCAGTACACACTAATACTTGTTTTTTCTGTCCACACTTGCTTTGTTGTTTTTGTTCAGTATTGGGCATCTTATTGAGTGTGAAGTGCAATCTCCAGTTTGCTTTTCCTATCGATCAGTTATACTAAACATCTTCCAATTTGTGATGATTTATATTAATTTCCAGAGGTGCTCTAGGACTGTCCCTGGCTCTGTGCTCCCGACTGACTCTGCTAGTACAAGACAATGGAGCTGGGGTTAGTCATGTGCAAATCAAGTGCAAATGCTTGGCAAGCTTTACCTAAGGCCCTGAGCTATTTATTACTCCCCCCCCCCCCTTTTTGTATTGACCTTGGCTTTTCCTTGGAGAAAGATCTTTTCAAGTTCTTCAACCTTTGTTTATTTTTGAGCCACCCCCTGTGGTGCTCAGGGCTAACTCCTTGCTCTGTACTCAAGGATCACTCTGGCAGGCCTTGGATGCCAGGGATAGAACCTGGGTCAGCCACCTGCAAGGCAAGTAAAGTGTCCTACCTACTATACTATCACTTTGGTCCCATGACCCAGTTGTTATTATGTAAAGGCCCTCCCGTTGTTCATCGATTTGCTCGAGCGGGCCCAGTAACGTCTCCATCATGAGACTTGTTACTGTGTTTGGCATATCGAATACGTCATGGGGAGCTTGCCAGGCGCCGCCGTGCAGGCGAGATACTCTTGGTAGCTTGCCGGGCTCTCCGAGAGGGGCGGAGGAATCGAACTCGGGTCGGCCATGTTGGCTGCGTGCAAGGCAAACGCCCTACCGCTGTGCTATCTAAATATTCTGCATATACGTAAGACTTAGTAATATTTGTCCTGTTTTGTGGACTACCTCTTTCGTCTCTTGTTACTGCCCTTTCTGCACAAAATTTTCAAAAGTTTTGGGCTGGAGACATACTACAGTGTTAAGGGTATAAGACTCCAGACTGAGACCACAGGCATGGCTGGGTCTGGCTCTGGAGGATGGTGAGCACTTCCGGGATATACTTCTGGGCCCAAGCAGGGTTGCGTTCTTGGGCCCTTGCACTGAAGAACTGGCCAGGGAGGCTCCGGATTGCCAGGAGTGATACCCCAACCCTCTGAGCACTGCTTGGAAGACTTCCATAAAATGAGAAAAAAATTCTTATCAAGACTGATTTGTTTATTTTTCTCTTGTGCTTTTTTAAAAAAAATCTTTTGTGTCATTAAATCAATCATTGCCAAATTCTACCCCGCCCCCCTCCTTTTGGGTCACACCTGGTGATGTACAAGGGTTACTCCTGGCTCATGCACTCAGGTATTATTCCTGGTGGTGTTCAGGGGACCATACGGGATGCTGGGAATCGAACCCAGGTCAGCCACGTGCAAGGCAAACACCCTACCTGCTGTGCTGTTGCTCCAGAATTCATGTGATCAAGCATTTGTCCTTATATTGTTGCCAAATTCTTGTGATCAAGTATTTGTCCTGATCTCTTTTTAAAAGTTTAGGTCTTGTTTTTAATTCATCTTCTGTTTTTTTAAATTTTTTTTTCTTTTTGGGTCACACCTGGCGATGCACAGGGGTTACTCCTGGCTTTGCACTCAGTAGTTACTCCTGGCGGTGCTCAGGGGACCATATGGGATGCTGGGAATTGAACCCGGGTCTGCCGCGTGCAAGGCAAACGCCTTACCCTCTGTGCTATCTCTCCAGCCCCTTTCTGTGATATTTTGTATGTGGTGTTAAGTGGCCAGACCATTAGTTCTCTTGCACGTGCTAGCAAGTTCTTCTAGCACTTTGTTTGGAGGCTGTTCTCTCCTCATTGAATGCTCCTGCCACCCTTGTCAAAAATCATATACAGTCAAGTGACTGTATATGGAAGGTTTTATTTGGGAGCTCTATTTTTTTTTCTTTTTGGGTCACTCCTGGCAATGCACAGGGATTACTCCTGGCTCTGCGCTCAGGAATTACTCCTGGCCCTGCTCAGGGGACCACATGGGATGCTGGGAATCGAACCCGGGTCTGCTGTGTGCCAGGCAAACACCCTAACCCTGGAGTTATCGCTCCAGACCCTGGGGGCTCTATTATATTCCACTGTTCTATTTGTCTTTAAGCCATTCCCAACACCTCACAGTAAGTTTTGAAATCAGGAAGCGTGAGTCTAGTGCCAGAGTGATAAAACAGCAGGTTAGGCATTTGCCTTGCATGTCGCCAGCCCAGGTTTGATCCCCAGCATCCCATATGGTCGGTCTCCTGAGCACTGTGAGGAGTGGTTCCTGAGTGCAGAGTTGGGAGTAACCTCTGAGCATCACTGGGTATGAGCCAAAAAGCAGGAAAAAAAAAAAGCAAAGTGTGTATCTTCCAGTTTGGGTTTTGTTTGTTTGTTTGTTTGGGCCTCCTAAGCTCAGGAGACTCAGAGGGCCTAACTGGCCATTCTTGGAAAACCAAGGTTCATTGCAAGAGCTCAAGGATGCCACACTGCTACAAGTTACCTTGACCATCCCAGGGGTGCTTAGGGGCCTGCAGGGCTGTACCCATAAATAGTTTGTGGGACCCCCATGTGGTGCAGGGAATTAATTGAACCTGGATTGGGCATATGCTAGGCGTGTATCCTAACTGCTGTACTATTTCCTGACCTGAGTCTTAACAGTTTTTAAAGATAAATTTGTCTGGCCTAGAGAGATAGTAAGTAGGTCGGGCACTTGACTTGCATGCACTCATCCCCAGCGTCCCATATGGTTACATAAGCACAGAGCCAAGAGGAAGTAACCCTTGAGCACTTTTGGGTTTGCCCCCCCCCCCCCCATTTGTATTTTTGTTTGGGTCTTTGGAATGTCACATGAAGTTCACAACCATGTTTATTTTCACTATTCAAGTAATTCGATTCTTAACCAACATAGTTGCAGTGAGATGGTATTTGAATCTGGCTATACGCATAATGCCTTGTTAGTTTAACAACACATTTTGCAGCTCTTGCCTCATCTCTAGAAATGAGATTAGGAGCCAGGGAGTTCAGGGGTTAAAACAATTGCCTTTCATGTTGCCAACTGCAGTTCTGTCTCCAACACTACATATGGTCCCCTGACCACTGACGGTACCACTCTTGCAGAATCCAGGAATAGACCCTGAGTACCACTTGATGTGGTTCCCAGAATTAAAATGAAATAAAAATGAGGCTGGGGAGAACATGCACCTAACAATTATGATTGAATGATATTAACTTGAACATCAGCCATTTTAATTAATTGTTGTTCTTGTACATGGCAGGAATTGGTGAAAACTTGGTAATATCTTTGTCTTTCAGGTTGCTGGGGGAACCAATGTGAATCAGATTTCCGAAGCCCTGAGCCAGTATAGGAATAGGTCATGTTTCGTTAAGGAGGCCCTCTACAAGCTCTTCACAGAGACATTTGCAACACAAGTCACTATGCCTGCTGTTTTAAAGGTAACTGCACCTATGAACAGTAGCTTTTATTACTGCTTAAGTAGATCAGTTAAAGTTATTCACCAAAACCTTTGAGTACAGCAACTTGCATTTCTTATTCTAGAGTGAGTTGAAGTGCCTCTCAGAGGAAGGAAACCTGTTTTGTTAACTGCCAGATTCTTTTTGTTTTCAGCACTATGTGGAATCGATCTGAAGCATCCAGTTTCTGCAGTTTGGTCTGAGGAGAGTAGAACTGTTCTCTAAAAGAGAGATTAGTCTATAAGCCAGAATTCACTCTTCCATGGAGTTGTTAAAAACCCTAAAAAATAGCATCTGGTTTTCTGAAAGAAGACAACAATCTTCCAACAAGAACAGAACATAAAAACAAAAATTGAAGGTGTTAGAACTAGAAGTATTTCGTGAATAAAGGAAAGTTTATCAATTGGGCCAAAGTTTGCTTTGGTTTATGGATAAAATTTTGTTTATTTAGTTTCGGGAATTATGGAATGCTGAGAATCAACCCAGGACTTCTGCATGCAGGCATGCACCGCATTCTGTTGAGCTGTCTCCCCAGCTTTTTTTTTTTTTTTGTAGGGGGACGGTGACAGATGTGGACATACCTGACAGTGTTCAGGGGTTTATTCTGGCTCTGTGCTCAAGGATCAATCCTGGTGGTATTCACAGGACCATTTGGGGTGCCAGGGATCAAACCCAGTTTAACTGTGTGCGTGGCAAGTGCCCTACTCCCTGTACTCAAGCCCCCTACCCCCTATACTATCTCTCCAGACCTCTCCAGCCCTGCTTTAAATGAAAGCATTAATTGGTTAGGAGAGAAAACTGGAATTATTTGTATTATTAAGCTGCTGTGGCTCAAGTGGTAGCACACATGGGCTCTGCGTTGCATCCGCAGGACTGCACAGCCCTCCAGGCTTGCCGGGCCTATTCCAGGGTTGAAGACTCCTAACCACGGAGAAAATACAGCAGTCAGGGACGCATGCTTCGTTTGTGCTGTGCCCACTGGGAGGCCCCAGCACCTCCTGGCCGGCCTGCTGTGCCTCCACTGAGCCTGTGCAGCCCCATGTCCGAGCGTTAAACTCAGTTGGGCAATGTTGGGAAGGACTCCTGGGAAACCCAAACACCGCTAGGGGAACCCTTGATGTGGCAGTTTCTCTTATGAAAGATTAGGTTTATGTATGATTTAAGCAATATTGTATAAAGAAAAGATTAGACATTTGTTTCTTGTAGGGAAAAAACTTGTATTATACGTTCTTAATCTTGTTACAAATCTAAAATTCTGTGATTTTTGAAAAATGATTTATTTCTACATTTTTCAGTTTGCATATTTTATCTATGTGACAAACTCCCAAGAATAATGTAAATAGTCTATAGAAAGTACTATATTTAGTAATTAGTGATCTGTATGAATATAGAAAAAGTCTTCTTTTTTTGTTTTTTTTTTTCCAGTTTTGGGGCCACATCTGGCAGTGCTCAGGCTTACTCCTGGCTCTGTGCTCAGGGATCAGTCTTGCGGGGGTTCAGGTCACCTTCTATGGTGCTGGAGATCAAACCCAGTTTGGCTCCAAGCAAGACAAGCTCTTTACTCCTTGTACTGTCTCTCCAGCTCTGAAAAGTAATTTTCTGTAACACTCGCAGTTGGTGCTAGTGTTTCATGGGTTCCTGTAGCTGTCACAGTGAGGAACTTTTCTTTAAAAGTTCTCTTTAAAAGTGCTGGTTCAGGCTGTGTAGATCAATGATAGAACCCAGACCTTGTTTGTGTGAGGTCCTGGTTTGATCCTTGGCTCTGAAAGACAAACAAGCCACTCAGTAACGAGGGTGCAGTGCATCTCAGTTGACTGTGAAGTAAGTTGGATGACTTGCTAGTATAGCATGGTTCGTGGAGCCTGCTGCTTGGGAACCACACAGTCCCAGACCTTTCCGATGCAAAGCTTTATTTTCTTTCTGTTCTGGGGGGTCCTTCTTGCTGTACTTGATCTACTCCCAGCTTTTTTCCCCCCATTAATTTACTTTTTAATCGAATCACCTTGAGATACATGGTTACAGAGTTGTTCATGATTGGGTTTCAGTCATATAATATTCCAACTGGCCTTCTTTAAATCAATGAACGTTAGACAGAACGGCATCTTGAACTCCCGAGAAACCTCAATGAGCTTGGTTATCATGTGGATATGGTCAATCGTGCTGAATCCTTTGTGGAACCCGGCTTGCTCGCATGGTTGCCCTTCATCTAGTGTTCTGCCAATCCTATTCAGGATGACTCGAGTGAACAGCTTGTAGACGACAGGCAACAGGCAGATCGGGTGATAGTTGCCAATGTCGTGGATGTCTCCCTTCTTGTACAATAGTACAGTCCTGCTGGTTTGTCATTGGGACAGAACCTTGCATTCAGACAGGTAGCATGGGAAGAGCCGAGCCAGCGTATTGATGAGTGCTGATGGCAGGTTCTTCAGGTGTTCAGGTCTGACCTTGTCTGGTCCAGACACTGTTCGTTTCTTTACCGACGAAATGGCAGGTCAGATTTTGGAAGAGAGAATGTTGGGAACGACATATCCATCCTGTGGAATTTGGTATGTCAGCAGGTGGACATGGCTATCAAAGAGATCTGAGTGGAAGTCATGGATAATCTTCTCCATTGCCCTTCTGGAAGATGTGATAAATCCATCAGGACTTTGGAGGGCAGTCATCTTGGTCTTGTAGTTGGTGAAGGACAAGCAGGCATTACGAATGTTTTTCCGGCTTCTGCCGCTTCTACCAGCACTTCTACTCTTCTCTCTTTGAGGTCTTCCTTGATCACATCTCTGCACTGCTTTGCAAGCTCGGACGTTCACTTTCGATTGCCTGAGGCATGCGCCAAACCACGTTGGTGAGTAAGCTCAAGAGTTTTCGAAGACAGGCTTTTTTTTTTTTTGTGGCTATCTTTCTCTTGCCAAACCAACAAGAAGGCAAGAGATTCAGCAGGGTGATACCATTTCACCGAAACTCTTCAGTGCCACCCTCAAGAATGTCATGCGACAACTGGAATGGGAAAGAATGGGAGTGAAGATAGACGGTCGGCAACTACACCACTTCTGCTTCGCTGATGACATCATTCTTATAACACCGAACATCAGCCAAGTGACACAAATGCTGGCCAACTTTGACTGTGAGTGTGGAAAGGTTGGACTACAGCTGAATCTAACGAAGACAATGTTTATGAGAAACAACCTCGTTCCTGATGCTCCATTTGCTCTCAACGGAACAACCATCTCCGAATGCAACAGTTATGTGTACCTAGGTCGAGAAGTCAACATGACAAATGACCTGGCACCTGAGTTGCACAAGAGGAAGAGAGCGGCTTGGAACGCCTTCAAGAATGTCAAAGAAATAGCTTAAAAGGACAAAGAACCTCTGGCTCCGGGCACATCTCTTTGATTCCACCATTCTTCCTGCATTAACTTACGCCTCAGAGACCTGGACCCTATGAAAGCAGGATGAGAACGCTCTTCGGGTCTCTTAAAGAGGAATCAAAAGAGCTCTGCTTGGAGTATCACACTTCATTCAAATGAGAGAAAGAATCTGGAGTTCCGACCTTCTTCGACGGCCAAGAATCAGGGATGCTGTCTCGTTCGCCAAGGCGTTAAAAATGAGAAGGCATGGGAAGGGGGGCGTTCTGGTCCGTCCTTCACGCCCTACCAAGCCCCATGAGCGGCTCTCCAGCACGGCCACAGCCCCAGAAGCACAAGGACTTAATGCAAAACCCAGCAGCTTGGAGCAGAAAAGTGAATGGACTATGCGTTAATCCAGGCCATCATGTCTGCCTGGAGGGGAAAGGGTGTTGCTCCCTTCCGCCCTCCTCCCTCTGGAAAGAAAGATGGCGGCCGTACGAGAGCCTTGTGGACAGCAGGTATGAGCTGGGGGTGCGGGGGCAACAAAAACCTCATGGGAAGGGGGGCGTTCCGGTCCATCCTTCACGACCTACCGAGGTCACCAGTTGTCCCCCACGAGCGGCTCTCCAGCACGGCCACGACTCCAGAGCACAGAAACCAATCTCTTAATTATCTGACTCTCAGTAGAAATACTTCCAGGGTTAATTAACAAAGTAGCGGAAATCCAAAACCAACATTTAATTCTTGAACCCAGCTGTAGAAAGTGAATCACTTCACAATGCTTTTTCAGCATGTCTGATTTGGGGGGAGGGGGTAAACTCTAAATAATAGTGGTGCATCTTTTATTGAAACAATGAATCTAATCAAAGCAGATAGAGTGTCAACTAGAATTCATCTGCCTCGCAGGCATTGGGAGGGGTGGGGGGTGGGGTTTTATTTGGGTTCTTCGTGGTAAAAAATAAGTATTGGTAAAGGGAAAGGTGTTTGATATTTGCATGACTGAGACCTAAACCTGAAAGCTTTGTAACTTTTCCCACAGTGATTCAATAAATAAATAAATTATTTAAAAAAAAAAAAGAAAATGAGATTGGCTGGACACGTAATGAGATTTGGAGACTACCGTTGGACTAGAGCCATTACCAACTGGATTTCACGAGACATCAAAAGATTGCGTGGCCGCCCACCTATGAGATGGTCAGACTTCTTCGTCAAGACCCTGAACGATCGGTTTGAGGCTCTTTGTGTTCCTAGAATGAGCAGGTGCCATTGGGCTACATTAGCACGCGACAGAAATGGAGACGTTACTTGTGCCCGCTCGAGCAAATCGATAGTAACGGGATGTCAAGTGATCAAGTGATCTCTCTCTCTTGGTGTTCCTCGCACAATCGTGGAGATGCTGAACCAGTTGATCGTATCCCTTGTCAATGTTGTCAATGATAGCATCTTCCCATGTTGCAGCAATAGTGCCAAAGAGCTCCCAGTTGGTGGTCGTTCTGGAAGTTCTCTTCTTAAACTTTGCAGTTCTTTCTCCCCGCTCTGTGAAGTAGAATTTTGCATGAAGGAGATGGTGGTCTGATCTTGTTTGGAATTTTGGGACAACAGTGACATGGGTCAGGCAAAACCATCGATTGAATATGATGTGGTCAATTTTGTTGTGTAATCACCAGCTGCGAGACTCCCATGTCCAACGTTTAGATTTGGCCTTCTGGAACTGTGAGTTACCATGGATGGTCTTGGTCGACATGATGAACTCAGACAATCTCTGACCCTGTTCGTTCCATTCTAGGCCATGGGTCCCGATGTGGAGTTCTTCAGCTGATCTTCTCAGTCCTATCTTGGCATTAAAATCACCGACAATGATCTTGTAGAAGGTGTGGTCTTTTTTATAGAACTTCTCCAGCTCCATGTAGAACTTCTGAATTTCTCTTTCATCATAATTGGATGTTGGTGCATAGACAACGAAGATAGAAACTGCCGGCAGTGAGCCACATCTATTCAAGTGTAATCGTCCGATTCGGGTTGTTAGGCATTCGAATACACTAGCACGTGACAGGGACAAATAGAGACGTTACTGACTGGCGTCTGCTTGAGCAAATCAATGATTAATGGGAAATCAAGTGATCAATATTCCAACACCCATTCCTCCTTAACCAGTGTACATTTTCCTCCACCAATATCCCAAGTTCTCCCCCTCCCCCCCCCACCTGCCTCTATGGCAGGTCTATCTCTGTTGCTCTGTCCCTCTCTCTCATCTCTGTCTGTCTCTCTCTGTCTCTTTCTCTCTCCCTCCCTCCCCACCCCCTTTGCTTTCACCCCGGTCTGGAGCAGTACCACAGCGGGTAGGGCGTTTGCTTTGCATGCAACCAACATGGCCAATCTGAGTTCAGTTCCTCTGCCCCTCTCAAAGAGCCCTGCAAGCTACCAAGAGTATCTCGCCCGCACGGCAAAAGCCTGGCAAGCTACCCGTGACGTATTCGATATGCCAAACACAGTAACAAGTCTCATGATGGAGACATTACTGGGCCCGCTCGAGCAAGTCGATGAACAACGGGAGGACAGTGACAGTGAGAGGCTTTCACCCCGGTCATTCTCTATCCTAACTGCCCTTCTTCGTACCCCAGACACTCTTGTGGCAAGCTTCCAACCTTTGACCAGACCTCTTGGCCCCTCTTTTCCCTGGAGCTACTCCCAGCTTGGTGCTATGGGGATTGAACTTGCATGTGCGAAGCTCAGTCTCATTATCTTCTTTGAATATGATGTTCTGATGCTTTCAAGCTTTTCCCTTTCTGTTGGTAAATTCGTTCCATTCTTTTCTCCATGTTGAGTTTTTGCGTATCATACCTCCCGGATGCCAGTCTTTGTAAATACTGGTGAGACGCAGCCTGCATGCCTCTCTCAACCAACCCTTTTGATGCCACCCCAGAAAGCATCTTCTTCCCTGGGTCCCTGAGCAGCACTTTATCTGTCCTCTGCTTACCATGCCTTTTCCAGTTTCATGTTTTGATGTCTCCCTCCTGTCTTTCGTTCTCAAGGCTTTTCCCCCTCCAGGTTTTATGCTAAGAAATAAGATATAAATGACCTACGTTAGTGTCTGCTGCAGTATTTACCACAGGGCCTTTATACAGAGTGAGGCTCAACAAATGATTATGGAATCACATACGAGGGAACTGAGGTCCACAGAAGGGAATTAATTTGCCTAAAATCACAATTTAATGTTAAAGCTACATTTGAACGGAATGTTTTGCACTTTAATGTCTTTGCCAGCCAACGTGTTAAGATTGTATAAAGCATGCTGATGTCATGGTAGTGCTAACAGTGCCTTCATCTTCAGCTCGTGGCCGTAGGCATGAGGAACCACCCAATGGATTTGACAGTGCAGTTCACTGCCAGTGCTTGCGCTCTCAACCTCACCCGCCAGGGCCTGTCTCGGGGCATGCCTGTTCGTCTTTTGACAGAAACCATTTCTCTGCTTTTGAAGGCTCTGAAAAATTTCCCCCATTACCAGCAGGTAATTTGAATGGAATACTTGTCTGTGCTTTTGACTTTAGAACAAATAGATGAAAATATAGATTATTTTGATGTTTTTTATCCTAAGAAGTATAACAGGAGAGGGGGGAGAGATATCAAAAAAAAATTCATGTTTACTATACCTTACAAACGCGGTCAAAACAATTAGACTGTATTTACTTATTTGTATTGAATCACTGTGAGATAGAGCGTTGCAAAACTGTTCATGATTGCATTTCAGTCATAGAATGTTCCAGCACCCATCCCTCCAGTGTAAGTTAGGCTTAACTTTAAATCTCACGTTTCATAGTTACTCAGATACCTGCTTATTAGCATGCTGTCCTGACAGAATTCGCATCTTTAGAGTTTGTATATGTGACGTAGGACTTTTGTCCAAAATGTAAAGACCTTTATAAACTTAGTAACACAAAACAAATTGAGCTTTATTTCTATTTCGGAGCCACACCTGGCTTTGCTCAGAACTTACTCCTGACTTTGTGCTCCGGGATCACTCCAGCCGGGTGTAGCGGACTCTGGAGTGCCAGGACGAAACCGAGGTCAGGTCATCCATATTCAAAGCAAACTCTTTCCCCATGTACTATCTCTAAGGCTGCAAATAAATCAATTAAAAATATTTTTTTTAATGTTTGAGCTGCAAATAGTGATGCTTAGGGCTGACTCCTGGTTCTGTGCTCAGGAACCCACTCCTGGCGGGGCTTGGGGAACCATGTGGTATGCCAGAGAGCAAACCCCAGTTGGCGGCATGCAAGGAAAGTGCCCTATTTGCTATACTGTTTCTCTGGTCCCTAAATCAAGCTTTTTAAAAGGCAAAATATTTGATTGGCCAGAAAGATAGTACCTGGGTTAAGGCACTTGCCTTGCACACGCTCTTCCTGGTTCAGTTCCATGTGTGATCTCTTGTGTACCTCCAGGATTGATCTCTGAGTGCGGAGCCTGAAACAAGCCCTGAGGACCTCAGGAATGGCTTGAACCCTTGTCCCCACCAAAACTGAAAAAGGCATGTGGGAGGCCTGGGTTCAATCCCTGGAGCTGTGTGGTTCCCCAGACACCCCTTAACCCCCCCCCCAAAATAAATCCAGGATGACAGTCTGAAGTGTTAACAAGAGTGGAGTAACTGAAATTCTTGTATATTAATCTTGAGAATGCTTCAACCAAGCATGCATCTGATAGTTCCTTTCAAAGTTAAGTATACTTCCTTACTTTGCCCAATCATAACACTCTTAGGAATTACCAAAGAAAAATGCATCCACATGGGACTCAGCCATGAATGTTTATAGGAGCTTTTTTTTATGGGGGTGAGTGATGCCTGGCAATGTAGGGGACTGATTCCTGCTCTGCTCAGTCACTCCCAGTGATGCTCAGAGAACCATGCAGTCCTGAGAATTGAACTTGGGCCTCCCACATGACTAGTATGTGCTCCAGTCCTTTGAGCTATTTTCTGACTTCTATATTATCTTTATTCATGGTCTCCTCCCTCTCCAAAATGGACAAATTTCCAATTATTCAGCAACAGGTGATTTGATAAATAGTGGTATATTCATTAGATAAACCACTATTTGATGATAAAAGAAAAATACTAATACCTAGAATATGGAAAAATCTCAGAAAAATGCTGAGTAAGAAAATTCATGTTCAAAGAGTGTGTAATTTGCTTTAATTTATATGTGACCTTAGGAAAAAATGAATTTCTTTTCATCCTTGGGCCACACCCTGGATTGGCTCTGTGCTCAGGGGACCGTGCAGTGCTGGAGATCAATCTTGGCTTTTTGTATGCAGATGTGCTCAGCCTATTGAGCTCTCTCTGGCCCTCTAGAATTTTTTTGGGCTTGGAGTTGTCAAAATCAGGATTGACTAGAGGAGGGAGCACAATGAAAATGTATCGAGTGATAGAGATGTGCTTTATCTTGATTAATGATGATGGCTTTGTAGGTTTTTGCTTTTACTAAATCCGATTGAAATCAGTAATTAAGAGAGTTAATTTTTTTAATGCAGCAAGAGAGGAAATGCATAAAATGGTCTTTCCTCACTAAACATTATGTTTGGAGACTCAGGAGATGACTTCATGGCTAGATGTGCCTGCCTTGCAATCATGAGTCCCGAGTTTGAGCCTTTGTGTTGCTCATGCGTCAGGTGACTCACAGTGCGAGTAGCATTTGATCCCCAATATTTGATCTCACAGCCAGATGTGTGAAAGCATGTCCCTAAAAGTGTGTGAGAGCATGGTGGCCAGTTGGCGCTCAGCCTCCACTGAACTCCACTGCAGTTCAGAATTTGCAAAGCCCCACCTGAATTTGAAAAGCACAGCTAAATGAGCACCTACTCAAGCACCCCAACTCGGTGGATGGTCCCTGACAATCACTGGGTGGGTGTAGGATCACCCCAACCAGATGTTCAGGGTGTGGACTCTGCAACCAGCAGTCACTGTAGCAGCAAAAGGAAGGGAAGGAGAAACAGTTTTTTTAAAAAAATAAAACACAGAAACCCTTCCTAGCATCTCAAGGGTGGTCTGGGTAGCCCCCAGCTCTGGGCCTGAGCAGCACCTAGTCTTGACCCTTGCATTGCGTGCCAGCCCAATTTGCAGTAAACTACTGGAAAGGGGCTGTGCCTCCTGAGCATTCTTGGGGCCAGAGAGAGGGAGAGCTCAGAGGGCCGAATGCATTCATTGGGAGGTCCAGTCTTGATTGTCAGAAACTCACTTGAGTGCTGCCAAGTGTGCCCTCTCTCCCCAAAAGTACACTAAAGCAACAAAAAAAAATACAAAAACAATTGTTTTCTTTCTCTTTCTTTTGTTAAGTGGAAAAATCCTTCCTAATTCAGTCCCAATTGCCTAATTCAGTCCTAATTGAAGATTGGTTGTCTTCAGTTAAGCTGAACAGCAACTGCCCCTGTAGGACGTCTGGAACCCTTGTCTTGGTAACCCTGTGAAGGCTCTCGTGGAGCCTTGCACTCGTTAAGTTCCTGCCCAGTTTAGTTGCTATCCCTGCCTCCTATACCGGCTGACTCGTGCGGAGCTGGCCTCTTCCGAGACCTTTCCTAGGAGGCCTCACCATTCCGGCCGTTGTCCAGTTGACTCCCTCCAAATCCTTGTTTTTATTCTCCTTCCCTCCCCTGTTGATGTTATGCCGACTGGTCAGTCACACATGTTTGGTTTTATTGTTGGGCTGGTGTTCCTTTAGCTGAAGTGCTTGCACATGCGTGGCTGTGGTGCAGCGGAAATCACTTTGCTATTGGCAAGTTCTGTGGAGTTGCCTGGATCATGTTTGGACAAGGGGTGCCACCTGAGAACCAGACTCACGGCTTCCAGCTTGCAAGGCAGGAGCTTCAGCCTTGAGCCATCTCCCACCCACATACCAACACCAGTCGTGAGAATGTGGAAGCTGTCAGAGTAGTAGGACATGGAGCCAGCGAGACAGTATAGCAGGTAGGGCACTTGCCTTGCTTGCAGCCAACCTGGGTTCAATCCCTGACACCCCACATGGTCCCCCGAACCCATCAGGAGTGATCCTTGAGGGCAGAATCAGGAATAAGCCCTGAGCACAGCCAGGTGTGGTCAAAAAACAAAACAGTAAGATATGACAAAGGCATTTATCATTCAATAGCTTGGCCAGGTTTTATTTTTTTAGTTTATATATTATTTTGAGATTTATAAAATTAGCTATCTTGTGTAGGAGATAATGCATTTAAATTTTTACAACAGCTTACTTTTTATTTGATACTTGCATCAGGCAGGATTTAGACAGTTCGCCTGGACTGTCAGATTAGGCATACTGTCCTGAACTTGGGTCCTGTTCAGGGAAGCAAGACGATTGGGACGCAGAGGAAACAACAGCAGGTAGTGTGCCTGCCTTGCACCCTGGCCTCAGCAATCCTCAGCACCTCGTATGGTTGTTCGCCTGTGCCCACCAGGAGTGACCGTGAGCCCTGCTGGGTCTGGCCTAAATGTCAAATCAAAAACAAGATAAAGCGAAAAGGACAGGATGGGACTGTAGTATGTTAGGCCAGGTGAATATGATTTGTTTAAGCCAGGAACTTGGAGAGCACCTGCAACAGTACGTGCTCTCTGTCGGAAAAGTTGGTGCATAGTAACTTCAGGTGCATAGAACCCTTTAGTCGGAATGAAGTACATACATTTGCTCAAAGTGATTTTTCTTTATTTTCTAAAAGCTGCAGAAGAATTGTCTTCTCTCCTTAACCAATTCCACGATTCTTGTGGATGTTCCATTTGACAGGTGAGTCTAAAACTTGGTCATCCAATTTTGAGTTGTTGCCAAGTGTTACTCTGAGCATGGTTGACTTTGGTGTTTAGCTTAGTTGAGGGCCTAATTAAGGTGAGAGCAAGATGACGGGGGAGAAGGTTCTGTGGTTCCTCATCCCTGGCAGATGATCAGAAGTGCCCGCTCGCAGATGTCATTCCCAAAAGTCATCAGGGCAGGTGGATTCTGAGAACATGGAATTCAGAGACAGATTTCTTGGACTCAAGGTATAAACTTTCTGTTATTTTTTGTAAATAAGTCTCAGCATTTAAAAAAGAATGTCTCCTGGGTCTGAGGAGCTAGTGGAGAGGGCTGGGCTTGCCCTGCATGTGGGAAGCCTGGCTTCCATGCCCAGTACCACTTGTTTGTCCTTCTCCACACCCAGCCACCTCCTGGTACAGCCCCTCCAAAACAGTGACTCTTAAGATAGCGTTTATAAAGAGCTCTCTGCGGTGCCTACCTTATAAGTATGGGTTCTTCTTAATATTAGCAGCTCTTATTGCATGATATTTACAAACAATTATTTTATACTTTAGAGAGGGTCCTCTTGATGCCTTTGTAATGCAGTCTAGATCTGTGTTCAGAAGCTGCAAACAGCAAAGCAGTTGAGCACAGGCTCTCGGGAAGAATGTGGTTTGGAGTGCTGACGTGTGGGTGAAGCCACGCAACACCAATTGATTTTTTGTAAATTTTATTTTATTTTTATAAAGTTGTTCAGAATAATCTACTACATTCAATATTCTAACACCAGTCCCACCACCATTACACCTTCCCACCACCATTATTTCGAATTTTCCCACCACCACCCAAGCCTGCCTCAAAAGCAGGTCCTAAATAATTTATTTTGTATTGCTTGTTAGGAATAATGCACTAAAAATGGTCCAAAAAAGTTTCTTAAGGGGAAAGTGTGTGAAGAATATTGTATCTCACCCTGGAACCATTAAGCCCATGTATAAGAGATTATGTTGCAGGTTAAGCCTTGTGTGCTAACCTATATATATATATATTTTTTTTTTGATAAAGATCAGTTGCCTTCTGTTTTACATCGCATCAAACGTGGTAGGTTACTCTTGGTATATCAGTCGTGTAGAATTGCTTCAAGAATTCTGAAATTTTAAATAGGTCAATACAGCTGTAGTTAAATTTTTACCTGGATGGTGACTCTGGGGTTCAGAGCTATCTCTGCAGCTTTTTGCTCTCTTCCGAGATTTATTTGTGAGTCTCTGGATCATGGCCGTTAATGAGCTTATATGGCGCCAGAGGCAGTTTGTGGGCCTGACTGCTAGGCTCCTGGAAAAACAGGGAGATGAGGGGAGATTGCCCATTCCTGACTTTGTGAGAGCCTGGAGATTTCGGTCACAAAACCTGCATACCTTTTGGGGCCTGGAGCGATAGCACAGCAGGTAGGGCACTTGCCTTGCACACAGCCGACCCGGGTTAGATTCCAGCATCCTATATGGTCCCCTGAGCACTGCCAGGAGTAATTCCTAAGTGCATGAGCCAGGAGTAACCCCTGAGCATCGCCAGGTGTGGCCCAGAAAGCGCAAAAAAAAAAAAAAAAAAACCCAACCCTGAGTTTTTTAGCAGAGTCATTCTCATGGGTGAGGCTCATCCCAAACCTATGAAGATCAGCTGTGAGCATGGTTGTGATTGGGCTCTGGAGGTTTTTCTCAAAGTCAATTTATTTTGTTCAATTTTTGGTTTGTTTTGGTTTCTGGTTACAACCAGTGATGCTCAGGGCTTACTCTGGCTCTGTGCTCAGGGATACCTGCTGGCTATATCCCGGGACTGTCTGTGGTTCTGGGGATCAAACTGGAGTTGTGTGTATTCCCCCTGAACTACATCTCACCCATTCAAATCTAAATCAGACATGCCCTTTGTATTGTTTTGGGGCCTCAGTCAACTGTGCTAAGGACTTACTTCTGGCTCTGTCCTAAGGAATTAGCAGTGCTCTGGGTACTGGCAGTGCCAGAGTTTGAAGTAAGCACCTTGGCTGCTGTGCCTCAGGCCCCTAGACTGTGTCCTTAAAATGGGAGATGACCCGGGCCAGAGCAATAGCGTAGCAGGTAGCGCATTTGCCTTGTACCTAGCCGACCCTGGTACATCCCTGGCGTCCCATAGGTTCCCTGAACCCCATCAGGGGTGATCTCTGAGCACAGAGCCAGGAACAAATCCTGAGCACCACTGGAGGTGACACCCCCATGGGAGTTGACTTTAAAAACTATGGACAGTGGTCCTCATTTTTTTTTAAAAAAATGTAGCCTGGGGGAATAGCTCTAAGAGCAAGCGCATGCTTTGCAGTGGAAGCCTTGGGTTTGATCCTGGGCACTGCATGCTTCCCCAAACAGCAGAGGGACTATGCCAAGCACTGAGCCGGGAGTAGCACCCAGCACTGTTCCTCATCCTCCAACATATTTCCATGTTTTCTTCATGCCTGCAGGACAGTCGGAGCTGAGTAATATTGCCCTATTAAGGTTCTTGGCAGGAGGTTAGCACTGTCTACAGCTCAGGTGGCAAATGACTTTCCTTCTCTTTTCCAGACCAGTCATGGTAGAAACGGAATGTACCTTCTGAGAACTGCCCATCTTTCTTCGAATCCTTGCATTTTGCTCAAATCCTTATTTATTAGTGAGACAGTGTAGTTTTTATTGAACAAAACTTGCTTAGAAAGATATGAGAGGAGAGAAAGAGGGGAAATGTGTTCAAGAGAGAACGCAGGCTTCTCCAGGGAGAAATAAGCAAGCAGAGAAACAGACAAGATTCTTCTCTCCTCGTGTACTGTCTCGTAAACTTTATTGTGAGAACAATAATGCTTTTCAGGTTAGATGCTGCCAAATTTGTTATGAAATGGCTCTGTAAAAGTGAAAACCCCAAGATGCAAACAATGGCAGTGAGCATCATCTCCGTTATTGCTCTGCAGGTACAGAACTGCTAACGGCAAGCACTCCCTCCGATTCCCTCCCCTCCCCTCCCCTCCCCTCTCTCCTCTCCTTTCTCTCCCTCTCTGCCCCTCCTCGCTCTTTTTTCCTTCTCTTTCTTTCTTCCTCAGTATTTATTTCCATTTTTGTCCTTCTGTTTGCTTACAGCTCTCACCTGTGCAAATCTCAGAACTTAAAGAAGAGCTTTTCTTGACAGTCAGGGTAAGTTGTCACTTATAACCTTTATTTGGGGACCACATACTGTAGCAGTGCTTCTGGGCCATTCCTGGCTGGTTGCTGAGAGGATCATTTCCAGAGATGCTTGAGGTACCCATGGAGTTCAGCCAAATCCTCTGCTTGCAGTTTGTGCCTTTTGAGCTGTCTCTCCAACCATTACTTTTCTTTAAACTTAAATTTAGGGGTCAGAGAGATAATGCAGGAGTTGTCTATGCCCAGGAATCACTCCTGGTGAGCTGAGGACCATATGGGGTGCTGGGGACAGAACCTGAATCAGCTGTGTACAAGGCAAGCCTTTACCTGCCATGTTCTCATGCCTGCCCATGTTCTTTTTCTGAACACGAATCTCACTTTCTCTTTCTTCTCCTTCACATTTCTCTAAGTAAAATTTAAAACACAAAACTTCTTTGGATCGCTTAAATAAAAATGGATTCAGTTTGGGGTCATATCTGGAGGTGTTCAGAGATCACTCCTAGTGGCTCTGGGACTTGAGCCCAGTTTGACCACATGCAAGGCAGGTATTTTGCCCACTGCACTATCTCTCTGACCCCTTAAAGGATTTATTTGTATGTTAGAGAATTGTTTTTTCCCCACTCTGTTGTTATTCTTATCATTGATCTTTATTGGATTGTCAGAGTTTTAGCTGCTCACCGTGTATGTGTGATACTCACCAGCCCCCATCAAAGTCCCAGTGCCATCTGCCTTCAGAAACAGCAGAGTCTCTGCCACGCCTAGGAGCTGATTTTGGTTTTTGCCAGTCAGATTGCTCCAATCTCACATTAGTGAAACCAAGCAGGAATTATTTTCACTTTTATTTATTTATTTTTGTCTTGAATAAACCTTTATTTAAACACTGCTTTACAGAGTTGTTCACAGTGGTTGTTTCACAGATTCGGTGTTCCACCCCAGTGTGCCCTTCCCTCTGCCACTGTCCCTAGTTCCCCCGTGTCCCCCCACGCCTGCTGCTCCCTTATCTGGCACTAACAAAAGTCTAGTAAAGGTGATGGCTGAAGTCATGGCCTGAGAATTTGCTGATCTGTCGCTGCGAGCTGCGCCGTCCGTGTGCCTGTTTCCACTCATTGAGCTTAGTGGGCTGCTGCTCAGTTTCCCCATCTCCTTTTCTTGTTTCCCCTGGGCTCCGCTCTGGAGTTTGAAGGTGTTGCACAGCTGCGTATGCCGCCACACGCTGCAGGGGCTTTGGAACTGGGATGATCAGCTGCTGATTCTTCCTGGTGTCTCTGAGTTCGGTCATGAAGCTAGGTGGTTTTCTCTGGCGGCAGTGGAGCTGGGCCTTCGGCAGGGCGAGCACTCAGTCTTCTCACATCTGGCTACAGCTCCAGAGCTCTGGGCCCGTGTTGGCTAGGCCTGTCTGGGACAGTTCAGCTAGAGGTGTCTCGCTCTTTATTGACTTTCATATTTCCTCTAGCGTAATCAGCTCTACCTCTGCCCATCTTGTCCCAAGTGGTGTAGTTTCCTCCTCTGAGCCCCAGAATAGTGCGCGTGTGTATCAGCCCTTTCCTCCTTCCCTGCCTCAGGGTCAGCTGCCTGCAGACAAGCATCTTAACCTCTGTACTCTCTCCAAAGTTGGTATTTTTGATATTGAAACTATCCAGCATGGTCTTTTCTATTCACACATTCAGGGGTGGGGTTTGAAATGTGGTTTGATCCAGGTAGAGTTTGTTCTTGGTGGTGAGACGAGGGGCCAGGGATGTGACTCAGTCAATAGTAGAATGCTTGCCTGGAAACCACCCAGGGGTGAGACCTGCGCTCCATCCTCAGCCCTGCAGGAAAAACTCACCGCCAGCTAGACCATAGCACCGAAGAGACTGAAGTTGCTGGATAACAAGAGGGGAGAGATGTAGAGGCATAGAGCAAATACTGAAAGGAGCCTAGGGAGAAGCAACGTTCACTGTAGTGCCGGAAACCATTTCAGGCGGTGCTCCCTAAAGCCCAGCTTTTACGTTAAAATGGACCAGGTTCAGCACTTACGGGCTTTTATTATACGTTATTTATTATAATTATTTTGGATTTTGGACTATATTTGGCAGTGCTCAGGACTTATTCCTGACTCTGCTCAGGGATCACTGCTCGTGGGTACAGGATGTCACATGGGGTTCCAGGGATTGAACCCAGGTCACTTGTGGAAGGCAAGTATCCTCCTACCCACTGTACTGTCACTCTGGTCCCCAACCATATGACTTCAGAGAGATAATTTACTCAGCTTCTCTGTCCTTCTTGCTCTTCCTCTGAACAAAGGGGCAGATGTCAGAGTAGTGTTCAGTTTCGTTTATTGTAGCATCTCTAAGGTCCAAGAAGTGAAGTAGCAAATACAGGTCTGACCCCAGTGACTGCATCGGGGTCTGCCTCACTTCCCCTGCTCCACCTCTAGCTAAAGTCACTCACTGTAGCCTCTGTCTAGAGCAGTGGTTTTCAGCCACTTTATGCCGGTGATTGAAATCCAGCAGCTGCAGACTGTGGGCTTTGATTGCTCCACCTCCCGGAGTCTTACAGCTTGAGTTTTGTGATAAATTCTCTGCTGGTTGGGTTGAGCAACTTCCTTAAGTCAGTTCCGAGGTATTTGGGTTTCCTCTGGAGAGTTTGATTTTTGTTTGTTGTGAAGCAAGATCATTTCTATTGAAACTTACTTGGGAGGGGAGAGAAAGAGAGAAGTACCTGTTGCAGAGCGAATGCAGGCTTTTCCGTGGTGAACAGCAAAGAAACAGACAAACAAGCAGATCCGTAGTCCATGGGCTTGAAGAGCAGCTCTTCCTTTAGAGTTTTAAGACCAAAGTTTAAAATCATTGTATTTAACTCAAAGTAAGCAGCTGTGTAATATTTTTTTACTGGGGGCTAGAAGATTGGATGTGCCCGGTGGTGCCCCAGGCTACACAAGGTGGATCACAAAGTTACTAAGGTTTTATTGTAAAGATCTTCTAATGCTGCTTTTCTTATAGTGAAAATAATTTCTTTGTTTGTTTTTTTAAGGAACTTCTATCAATAGTAAGACAAAAAAACACTGCAAATGTAGATGATATCACCTTCCTGTTTACTTTGAAAGCACTTTGGAATCTTACAGATGAGTCTCCCATCGCCTGCAAGAGCTTTATTGAAAATCAGGGGTTACCCATCTTCATCCGACTCTTGGAGGTGGGAAGATAGGATTAAGTTTATATGGAAATTTCTTTTTTCATCATACAGTAAGCTGTTCAATTTTTTTCAGCATATAGTAACTTGCTTATTTTTTTTGACAGACTTTTTCAGAATTATCAGTGCGAAGCAAAGTTCTTGGTCTTTTGGTAAGCTGATTATTTTGAGTTCATTCTAATGATATTTTTTTAAATAAGAAAACTGACAATACCTATGATTTGCTAAGCACTTACAAGCAATTTATACCTTAATCATACCATCCTGATATCATTAAATATCAGTCCTCTTGTGAACAAATTATAGCTTAAAACAGCTATTTTATTCACTTAGAACGTATTTACTCATAGCAACTGAGCTCAGTGAATTTCTTCTGTGGATCTTGTGATGAGGGGCAGTACCCAAGGTGGCCTGACTCCTCTCTGAGTTGCAGGGGGTCAGCTGGGCTTTCCTCTCTGGGCTTCTTTTCTCAGTGCTTTCAGGGGAGAGGTAAAGGCCGGTCTTGGTTCTTCTGTAGCGTCCCATTCTCCAGCCACAAGTAGGTGACCTTCTGGGGTGTTTTCCAGTAACTACTTCTCAACTCCAATCAGATGTCCTGCAGTTCAATTTAAGTCTGATGCTAATTATTCAGAATTAAAGGACTCTAGGGCTGGGGCTGTAGCTATAAGCCCTAACCTAGCTTTGCTCCCTGGCACAGTGGAAATCTTCAGTGAAAGGGCTCAGTCCCACAGGACTCACTCCTTCATACTTCTGACTGTATAGTACTTCATACTTACTGGCTGCTGTAAATGAGAGTGTGCACCCCTCTTTCTCCTGTTGGGGTGATGATGAAAGTTCTAGGCTTCCAGTCAGAATTTGGCCTTTCAGGAAGACAGCCCCTCCCCTGGAGCTATCCAGTTACCTGTCAGAAGTTGTTTCAGTAGAACAGTGATGGTCCCATCAGGAAACTGTGAAGGGGTTTAAAGTTCTGTTTCAGGAACTAGGTCAGAGGTGAAGACATGTTGTCTTTATGCCTGTAGCTGACCAGATCATAGTTGTGGCCACTCCTTCCTGGGACTTGCCTGGGGCCTGAGCACTGTGTTCCCGTTCGTCTCACTGTTCCTCCATTCTGCCTACTGCTTGAGGCACAGAAGCGTCCTTGCGCGTGTGACAGGTCCTTGCACATGTGACAGGCGCAGACTCTGATAGCTCACTTTTCTCCTCTTCCTCTTTAATCAAGGTCATTCTTTAAAATTGTTTAAAAATTGTAGTTCTGATACCATGGTTACAATAATGTTATGGGTTTGCATTTCGGGGTGGTGAGCAGCAGAGGGGCTCAGGGGTCACTTCTGACGGTGCACAGAGGACGGTGTGTGGTACTGAGGATCAAACATAGATTGGACACGTACAAGGTAAGAACCTTTACCACTACACCCTCTCTCCAGTCCTAGAAATTAGTCATTGGGGGAAGTAGAATAGAGTATTTAGAATTTGGGGACAGTGGAAAGGAAACAATGAGAAACAAGACCAGAAAAGCGGGCTTTGAAAGTATGTTCCTGTCCAGTGCTAAGTATCCTAATTCTGTTAAACATCTTTTACATTGTTTTCATTTGCTTGTTTTGGCTATAAACAGTGGTGCTCATAGCATATTCCTGGTTCTGCACTCAGGGATCACTCCTGGCAGTGTCCAGGGAACCACAGAGGGTGCCAGGTATTGAGACAGGTCTGCCAGGTGCAGGACAAGCACCTGACCTGCTCTGTTATCTCTCCGACCGTGTTTGTCTTGGGGCCATACCTGGCGGTACTTAGGTCTCATTCCTGACTCCGGGCTTAGGGATCATTCCTGGTGGTTACTCGGGACAGACTGCAGCAGTTTAGGGGTTCGAACCACGTGGGCTGCAGTTACCTTCTCTCCTGTACTCTCTCCAGCCTGTGATTTTTTTCACTTTTTTTTTTTTTGAGAGCCTCTCAGAATCATGAAAGTTGACAAGGTTGCCGGTCTTTCTTCCCTTGAGAAAGGCCCACGTTTCCCCCATTATCTCCTTGCCTCCACATTTTTTCCCATAGAATATTAGAACAAGCTACTATAAAAGTAGCCTCTGCCACACCTGCAGGGACATCTAGGGACTCAGCACTGGCGTCCATCTTGGTCATGCTCAGGATCTTATCCATCTGTCCATGTTTGCAGTTTGCAGCTGCCTGATAGATGCCATGCTGAAACTGTGCCATTAGAAAAGTGGACAGGAGCCTTGGGGAAAAGGAGAGAAGGACTTTCCTTGAACAGTGCAGTTTCTGCTGTTGATGAGAATATAAGAGCTTTTGTTGGAAGGGGAATGGATCTCAGAATAACCAATTTTCTTTATAGTGCCATATGCTTTTTTTTTAAGTAGGCGTGTGAGGGGGCCATACCCCATAGGCACTCAGAGGCTCAGGGCTCACTGTTGGTGGGGCTCAGAGCACCATGTACTCTTCCAGGATCAAACTGAGATCAGCCACATTCAAGACCAGTGCCTTGACCCCTATGCTGTCTCTCTAGACCTTAAAAAATATTTTTTAAATTGAAGTAACATTAGATAAAGGTTTCAGGTATACAGCACTATACTTTGACTTCTTGGTGTCCGGAGTTTAGTTTCCAGACTGGAGAGAGCTCAACGTGCTGACTTTGCATGTGGGAGGCCTGGATTCAGTCCCCAGCACCACATGGTCCTTAGCATCACCAGCCTCCTTCATGGAGAGTCGAAAATAGCCCTGAATACAACCAGATGTGCTCCCTGCCCCCCAAAAACTTTGATTTCCGTCTCCCATTGTCCAGTTTACCCCTTTACCTGACTTCCTCTCCTGCTGAATCTCCCAAGGTAGTACCTTCCCTTCTAGTACTACCATTTTGTTTTTATCATTGTTTTGTTATTCCGTGTACAAGTCTTCCTCCGTATTTATTATTTCACTTAGCACAGTATCGCTTGGGTCTATCCATATGGCTGTGAATGACAGATTGCATCTTTTTAATAGTTGAGCAGTATTTCATTGTGCATATGTACATCTACTTTATCCGTACCTCTGTGGGTCGAGTTTGTTTCCGAAACTGATAACACGGATACTAGACAGACGCCTCCTCACTGGCTTTAAAGAAGCCAGGGCTGTGCAGTCAGTGGTCTAGCGGTGGAAAGCCCAACCTGGTGAGGGGCTGGGAACATCTGCACGCCACAGAGGGACGTGACTCTGCCAGCAGTGGGAGGGAGGTTGGGATTGGATTCCCCTCTGGTCGGAATGCGGTGTTGGGCATTTGAACCCAGACAGATGAGAATGGAGCCCAGACAGAACTATACTGTAGGGCAGGGGTGCAGTGGGGTTTTCTGCATGCAGGTAAGGCCTGTTCTTCACTACTGAGCTGAGTCTCAGTACCTCTGTGAGGCCTCTCGCCAGCTGGGCCTGAACTCCTGTGGACGCCCCACTCTTAGAGGAAGATGGGGGTTTCCAGCCATTTTTTGGGTGGTAATTTGTTAGCCGGCATTGAAAACTAACACAATACGTAAAATAAAAAGAAGTCTGACCTGCCTTTCTTTGTTATTCTTCAGCTTCGTGCCGCAGGCCCCAGGGGTATTAACTGTTCTAGAGATACTTGGATTTGTGTTCTAGTTCAGTGGGTGTTTGCAATGTGAACCGGACAAGTTGTTTTGCTTCATGTCACATTTCTTTGTGCTTTTTCCCCTGAGATTAACGAGATATAGCAGGTAAAAGAGTTAGTAGGGTGCAGAGCCTGGCACTTGGTAAGTGCTCGTTCTGGGATCTGCTCTCGGGGTGATCCTCCTCATCCCCAGGTGGGGCTGTGGGCCTCCGGCAGAGTGAGAGAGAAGGCTGGGGCTGAGTGCCCTGGAACAATAGCAGAGGCCAGCGCCAGCCTCCGCACACCCTCCGCTCCTGCCCCCGACCGTCTCTGCTCCATCTGACCTGTAGAACAATGTAGCTGAGGTCACAGAGCTCGCTCCCAAGATGGTGAGGCATGAGGAGTTGGTGCCCCTGGTCAGCAGTTTCCTGCACAGCAAAGAGTTGGAGGTCAGCTATTTTGCTGCGGGCATCATCGCCCACCTGACATCTGAGAAGTCATCCTGGGACGCTCAGGACCTTCAAAGACTCAATCTGCTCCAGGATCTGGTATGTCTGTTGTTCCTCTTCAAAATCCGGGAATCTCCTCTTACAGAAAATTATTGCTTTAGGTTGCAAAACTTTTTAGAACTTTGTGTTCATTGTAGCAAAGGGATACATATAGAAAAAGTTTACAGAAAACTATCAAAACCCACCTATCCCCAAAGCTAACTTCTGTGAATCAGTGTTTTCTTGTGTTCATCTCACGCTTCCCCTGCCTTTCCAGGATGCTCCTGGACCCCCTCTCTTTAACAGTGTCTTTGTCTTTGCAAATTCCCATAGCTTTTGGATTTTGTAGCACTGTCCTCCCCTTGTTCATAGATTTGCTTGAGCGGGCACCAGTAACGTCTCCATTGTGAGACTTGTTACTGTTTTTGGCATATCGAATATGCCACAGGAGCTTGTCAGGCTCTGGCTGTGCGTGCGGGATACTCTTGGTAGCTTGCCGGGCTCTCTGAGAGGGGCGGAATAATCGAAACCGGGTCGGCTGTGTGCAAGGCAAACGCCCTACTTTTTGAGATAAAAGTCGAGATCCGTGTGTGCGTGTATATTATTAACATAGGTGGTTGGGCTTTCAGTTGTTTTGTTTTGGTGCGTTCAGGAGCTGCTCCCGGCTCCGCACGGTTTCTCTTGCATGCGGGGCCTGCGCTCGGCCTGCTGAGCCCTTTCTCTCGTGTTCTCTCCAGTCCAGGGTGGTTTTTTTCCCCGCTTCTCCTATGTTGATGGTGTGCTGACTGGGAGCTTCACACACATAAGGCAAATGTTCTATTAAATTCTCAGTCTCCTATTTGATTTTGCTTTTTATTTTTGGAGTGGGAGGTGAACACCTTGCAGTGCTAAGGGCTGCTCCTGATTCAGAGCAGTGCGGGGGTTCACATCCCCAGGCCTCCCAATGCAAAACTTGTGCTCAGCCCTTTGATCTGTGTTCCTAGGGGCCGAGAGATGGTACAGTGGGTAGGGTTTTTGCTTTGTGTGAAGCTGACTCCAATTCAGTCCCCAGCACCCCACCAGGAGAGATTTATGAACACAGAGTCAGGAGTAAGCCCTGAGCACTGCTGTGTGTGGTCCTAACACCAAACACAAACACTGTATGAACTGTGTTCCTCCTCCCCAATCTGCCTATCTCTAATTTACTTCCTGAAGTATCTGATATATCACAGTAATAGAGAATATCAGATATCTTCAGGATTCTGTTCAAATTATTTTTTTATCATTCTAGGCTCAAATAAGTAAAGGAATTAGTTACTTTTAAAAAAAATTGTTTTGGCGTTTGGGTGTATGGTTATAGTTATGTGGATGTTGTGTTCTTTACTGTGCCCTGACGACCACCACGGTGCCCAGCCCCCGCCCTCCAACTCCTGCCACTTCTATAAGTTTGCTTTGTAGCCTTCCCCCGGGGCTAGAGCTATTAATCAGTTACGTTTTCCCCCCTTTTGTTCTGTGTTTTTGATGTTTGCTTTTTATTCTGTTGATGAAGTTGTCTTTTCCCTTTTTGGTCACTGTTGTGGGGACCACACACAACAGTGCCAGTGCCTTTTACTTCAGACCATATGTCCTGTTCTGTTCGTGGATTTAGGAATGAGTCATTTTGTCTTTAAACAGAAGCCCTGTTTATTGCATTGTTTTCCACAGAACTTTTTATCCTATAGATATGAGAAGTAATTGGTATTTTGCAAAGTTGATAAACCTCAATTTGAGTCATTTTCCCATTTTTTTAAAATTACTTTTGTTTCATGTGTTTGACATGGGCTGGAGCAATAGCACAGCAGGCAGGGCATTTGCCTTGCACGCGGCCGTCCCAGGTTCGATTCGTCCCTCTCAGAGAGCCTGGCAAGCTACCGAGTATCCTGCCCGCACGGCAGAGCCTGGCAAACTCCCCATGGCACATTCGATGTGCCAAAAGCAGTAACAAGTCTCACAATGGAGACATTACTGGTGCCTGCTCGAGCAAATTGATGTACAACGGGAGGACAGCGTAGTGCAGTGCGGTGCAGTATTTGCCATTATAAGTGATATGAAATAGCCTCTTCGGACCTTTTCTAAATGATCAAACACAATATTAGAGTTTGGTTTTTCTTTTCATACAGTATGCAACTGTCCAGAATTGGCCAAGTGCACGTTGTAAGATGACAGCTTTGGTGACATACAGGTACTTTCATGATGGTGCAAGCTCTTCGTTAAGCTCATTTCTCTTTTAGGCCACGGTACTGTGATAATATGTTGAGTCAGATAACAGCTGGAGCTGGAAAGATCGCTCCTACATGGCTTGCTGCCATCCTGGCACTGCACAGTTCTTAGAGCACTGCCATGTGTGGCCTTGCTGGTGGCCAAGCCCCACTGGGGTGGCCCCAGGTAATCCCCACACCCGTAAATGAGGCTGCTTGGTGTACAAGTTTGAGACTGCAGTCTCTCAAGTACTGGCACCCATCCTGCGCTCATCAGCACCTGCTTCAGTGAGGAACTGGAGCGCTGTGGGAAAAGGCTGACAGCTCTTCTGTTCCTGAGGTTCTGACAGTGGACATCTTCTCTGTACCTTTTAGATCCTTCAAGGTGTTTTTCCCACTGCTTCGCAGCTTCTGTCAGCCAGAGGTTCAGCTCTGGGCACTCTGGGCTATGTATCATGTCAGCATTAAAAACCGTAAGTATTCAAGACAGGCGGCTCTAGGGACTTTGTGTACTAACCTATGCATTGAGTGTTTTCTAAAATTGCATTTTATGTACTATCTTGTATTTTTAGGTGTCTAGCTTAACAGATTACCTATAACGGAGATGTTTGTTACTTTTGTAATAAATTTTTATTCCTTTAGTTTGTATTAAAGCTAGTTGAAGCTTTGAATTGTTTGAAAGGAAACGTGATAGCATCCTGATAAGTTATGTTATTATGTACAGCTATTTCACAGTACAAGCCAAGGATTATTTAAGTTTCGTCATATTCAGAGCTGGTTTATATGCTAATTCCTGTGTCAGAGAGCTTGAGACTTTGTATCTCTTTCAAAAACTGAATGTGGTAAATTGGGAATATTTAAGATGCCCGTTCTCTCATCACATTCATTGGATTTCTCCCTCCTCCCCCCCAGCCAGCAAATATAGCAAAATCTTGGTCGAAGAAGGAGGATTGCAGCTTTTATGGGAAATCCGGAAGCACCACGAGGCGCACCCGCAGGCGCAGCAGATGGCAGCCTCCATCTTAGAAGACCTCCGAATGCATTTCATGAATTTCCAGAGAGCCCCCCTCCATTGATGCACGTTTCCCCGCAGAGGCCTTTGGAGATGTGCCCATTGTTCCCACACAAGGTGGTGGGCGAACCCAGTCGCCACTGGACTTATTCTGAGTAGGCTGCCTCGCTGCCATTTGTGTTGTTGAGTTTCTTTGAGTTACAAAACGTTTATGGGAACCATACTCAGAATCACGTAGGAATCATTCTGGGAACATCCTTCAGCAGTTCTGGAGAGTCGGCCATGGGGAAACCCATGAGCTTGTAGTTGCACGGCCGTGCCTGAGTTTCTCAGAGGAAGGGAGATGAAAGTCCTTTTTGAATATGAAGAGTTTGGTATTTATGTTAAAATTTTCTGCTCATAAGTGTCTTTTAATTTGTTATTCCTGGATATGTGAGAACCTCGGGAAAAGGTGTACATAAAAAAAATTACACAATATGCGTTTTCCTAAATAAATACCAAAGGACCTTCCGCTTATGGAGTGAAGAGAAAGATATTTTTGACAGTTTCGGATGTATTTTACATTTGGCCTTTATTCCTAACTTTTTTACTTTAAATGTGACATTCTGTAGACCTGTGTACGGGATGGGGGGCATGGTGGGATTTAGGAGAAGATTAGAGCCTTTGGATGGAGGTTGTATTGGATTGTAAATTTTAATCCCTTTAATTTTTAACTAAGACAATTTTTGGTGTCGGGGGTGGGGGGGTCACACCTGGCTGTGGTCAGGGCTTTTTCCTGGCTCTGTGCTCCAGAATCTGTCCTGGCAGTGCTGGGGAGACCATACGAGGTGTGCTGACCATGTGTAAGGCAAATGTCCCCCCACCCTGCCTTTGTACATCTCCCCAGCCTCATTCCTATTTTAATTAAGTTGGGAATAGTTACAGTCTCCCTTTCAAAGAAATCATTTAGTTTTTGTCGTAATAATGTTAACAATAATTTTTAAGAAAACCTAAAAATTAAAACACAGATGTCTTTCCAGCTAAGAAATTATGAATATTGGGGCTAAAGAGAGAGTACGGTGGGTAAGGTGCGTTCCTTGCATGTGACAACCCCAGTTTAATTCCTATCAATCCCTGGTACCTCATATGGTTCCCCAAGTACAACCAGGAGGGATCTTTGAGCACAGCTGGTGTGGGCCAAAACCAAAAAGATGAATATGAAGAGATGAGTGGATAGATTATGGCATAATTGGTCTTTTGTTGCCGGTGTCTCTTGGCTTTCCAGATGGAAACCTGCCCCTACCCCTGGCTTGACAAGCACTGATCAGAGCTCCGTAATGAGAGCTGGCGCCTTATCCTGCGAATCATTCTCCAATGAACTTGGGGAACTGCTTTTCCCTGAAGGCGGCCATGCTCTCTAGCAGGTCCTGGGTAGGGATGTTCTTCAACAACAGAGCGTTGGTTTGGGGGACAGATGACTGAACTTGGCCATTGTCTCTGCACCCTAGTAGCAGGCCATGCAGAGGGGATGTTGAGCATCTGGGGTTTCCCCAGCACGGTTTGTGGCCATTTAATCACTTAACTTCCCGTCAGTCGTTGATTTGCTCGAGCGGGCGCCAGTAACGCCTCCATTTGTCCCTGTCACGTGCTAGTGTAGCCCAGTGGCATCTGTTCGCTCTAGGAACACAAAGAGCCTCAAACTGATCGTTCATGATCTTGATGAAGAAGTCTGACCATCTGGTAGGTGGGCGGCCACGCGGTCTTTTGACATCCCGTGGAATCCAGTAGGTAACAGCTCTAGTCCAGCGATCGTCTTTAAATCTCATTACGTGACCAGCCCATCTGATTTTTGACACCTTGGCAAACGAGACAGCGTCCCTGATTCTTGATCGTCGATGGATGTCGGAACTCCGGATTCTTTCTCTCATTTCAGTGAAACGTGATATTCCAAGCATAGCTCTTTCAATTCTTCTTTGGGAGAACTGAAGAGCGTTCTCATCCTGTTTGCATAGGGCCCAGGTCTCTGAGGCATATGTTAATGCAGGAAGAACAGTGGAATCAAAGAGATGTGCCCGGAGCCGGAGGTTCTTCGTCCTCTTAGCTATTTCTTTGACGTTCTTGAAGGCGTTCCAAGCCGCTCTCTTACTCCTGCGCAGCTCGGGTGTCCAGTCATTTGTCATATTGACTTCTCGACCTAGGTACACATAGCTGTTGCATTCGAAGATGGTCGTCCCATTGAGAGCGAATGGGGCATCAGGAACGAGGCTGTTTCTCGTCAACATTGTCTTCATAAGATTCAGCTGTAGTCCTACCTTTCCACACTCACGGTCAAAGTCGGCCAGCATTTGTGCCGCTTGGCTGATGTTTGGTGTTATTAAAACAATGTCACAAGCAAAGCGGAGGTGGTGTAGTTGCCGACCATCCATCTTCACTCCCATTCCTTCCCATTCCAGTCGTCGCATGATGTTCTCGAGGGTGGCACCGAAGAGGTTTGGTGAAATGGTATCACCCTGCCGAACCCCTCTCTTGACATCAATGATTACTTCTTTGTAGAATGGCGAGATCCTGGTAGTGAAACCGCAATACAGCTCATGGAGGATCTTGATGTATTGGGCTTGAATGCCCTGATTGGCTAGGGCTTCAGTGACCGCTTCCGTCTCAACAGAATCAAAGGCCTTCTTTAAATCAATGAACGTTAGAGTGGCATCTTGAACTCCTGAGAAATATCAATGAGCTTGGTTATCATGTGGATATGGTCAATGGTGCTGAATCCTCTGTGGAACCCGGCTTGCTCGCATGGTTGTCCTTCATCTGGTGTTCTGCCAATCCTATTTAGGATGACTCGAGTGAACAACTTGTAGATGACAGACAATAGGCAGATCGGGCGATCGTTGCCAATGTCATGGATGTCTCCCTTCTTGAACAGTAGTACGGTCCTGCTGGTTTTCCATTGGGACAGAACCTTGCATGCAGACAGGTAGCATGTGAAGAGCCAAGCCAGTGGATTGATGAGTACTGATGGCAGGTTCTTCAGGTGTTCAGGTCTGACCTTGTCTGGGCCGGGTGCTGTTCATTTCTTTACCGACAAAATGCGTGTTGGATTTCGGAAGGGAGAATGTTGGGAATGACATAGCCATCCTGTGGAATTTGGTATGTCGGCAAGTGGACATGGCTATCGAAGAGATTTGAGTAGAAGTCATGGATAATCTTCTCCATTGCCGTTCTGGAGGATGTGATGGATCCATCAGGACGTCGGAGGGCAGTCATCTTGGTCTTGTAGTTGGCGAAGGACAGGCGGGCGTTACAAATACTTTTCCCAGCTTCTGCCACATCTACCAGTACTTCTGCTCTTCTCTCTTTGAGGTCTTCCTTGATCGCATCTCTGCACTGCTTTGCGAGCTCGGACGTTAGCTTGCAGTTGCCTGAGGCATGCGCCAAACCACGCTGGCGAATAAGCTCAAGAGTTTTCGAAGACAGGCGTTTTTTTGTGGCTATCTCTCTCTTGGCGTTCCTTGCACAATCATGGAGGTGCTGAACCAGTCGATCATATTCCTCATCAATGTTGTCAACAATGGCATCTTCCCATGTTGCCGCAATAGTGCCAAAGAGCTCCCAGTTGGTGGTCATTCTGGGAGTTCTCTTTTTAAACTTTGCAGCCCTTTCTCCCCGCTCTGTGAAGTAGAATTTTGCACGAAGGAGACGGTGGTCCGATCCCATTCGGAATTTTGGGACAACAGCGACATCGGTCAGGCAAAACCGTCGATTGAATCTGATGTGGTCTATTTCGTTGTGGAATCGTCCACCAGGAGACTCCCATGTCCAACGTTTAGATTCTGCCTTCTGGAACTGTGAGTTACCATGGATGGTCTTGGTCGACATGATGAATTCAGACAGTCTCTCACCCTGTTCATTCCATTCTAGGCCATGGATCCCGATTGTGAAGTTCATTAGTTCATCTTCTAGGTCCTATCTTCGCATTAAAATCACCCACAATAAACTTGTAGAAGGTGTGGTCTTCTTTATAGAACTTCTCCAGCTCCATGTAGAACTTCTCAATTTCTCTTTCATCATGAGATGTTGGTGCATAGACAACGAGGATAGAAACTGCTGGCAGTGAGCCACATCTATTCAAATGTAAACGGCCGATTCGGGTTGTTAGGCATTCGAATGAATCAATGCTCATGGCCAACTGAGCACACACTCCAGGACGCTTTCCGGACACATCATAAGACACTAAATACCCATCCTCCGGAGTTGCCGTAGCATATTTGATAGGGTTCAAATATGGTAACACCTACAAGGGCAATTACAGGTCGCCCCCAAAACCTCTATCCCTCTCGGAAAGACTGGCAAGCTACCGAGAGTATTCCGCCCACATGGCAGAGCCTGGCAAGCTGTCTGTTGTGTATTCGATATGCCAAAACCAGTAACTACAATGGGTCTCATTCACCTGACCCTGAAGGCTTCACCGACATAGCAGCACTGAGAAGGGTGAGAAAGGAGAGGCCGACAAAATCTCAAGGCCGACCTAGGCTGCCACAACGAAGGAAGACAAAAATGACAAAAATGATCATCTGTACTTTCAATGCACGTTCGCTAGCATCAGATGCATCCATCGAGGACCTGATGGTACAAGCATGAAAGGTCAAGTACGACATCATTGGTCTGACCGAGACAAGAAGGCACGAATCTCACCATGCCGTTTTCGACACTGGAGAAGAAAGAATTGTTCCGAGGAACATGCGATAAAAGAGGTGTTGCAGGTGTTGGTGTCCTTGTCAACACAAACTTGGTTTGTGGCCACACCAGAACTAAATGTGCTCAGGGCTTACTCCTGGCTCTGTGCTTAGGGATCACTCCTGGCGATGTTTGGGACAATGTGGGGTGCCAGGGGTTGAACTCGGGGCAGCCACATGAATGGCAAGTGCCTTGCTGCACCTATACTATCTCTCAGGCCCTCCCTGTGTCGTTTAATTCTCTATTCAGTGCCATTCTGGGCATGGTTCCAACTGTCCGTTACCTCAGTGCCTAGTAACCCTTCAAGCATAAACACCAGCCCTACCCTCACGTTTCCTGGCCCTCTGTCCTCAGAGGTAATTGCTCCCTGCTCAGTGCTCCAGAAGGCTGTTCAACTGCCACTGTGGCTCTTATTTCTTCACTGTGAAGGTTTGATTTGGTTCTCACAGGAACCCTGCCCAGTAATAATGACTCACGTTGATTGAACATGAGGTGTTTTATTTTTGAAATTCTTACAGCAGTTTCAGTTTGCGGGTAAGGAAGCTGGGGCATTCAGCGATCTGGGGTTCAGTCTGATTCCTGATGCCTGTCCAGCTACTACCAGGCTTTCCTTTTTTTTATCTACTGGGGCATTCAAGGGGGTGCAGCTATGAGGTCAAGTGTTCTTACAACCCCCGCCATCTCGGGTGAGCTCTGGTAGTCAAAGGGCAGAGTTCAGGCTGAGAAACAACAATGTCACGGCCAGCCCAGGGCGGGTGACTGTCACCCTGACTTCAGCTGAGTTCATTTGGAGAGAGCCGCTGTCCCTAGAGCCAGCCCAGCGAAGGCAGGGAGCCCGAGGGTCTGGTAGCCAGCGTCTCACATTGGTATGGAAACGGGGGCCCACAGGTGAAGTGATCGTAATAGCTGAGTTCCCTGGGTCCCCGAGTCCATAACAGCCGTGGCTCCCATGCTGGGGGTTGAGTGTGAATCACTCTCCAACGAACTTGGGGGACCGCTTCTCCCTGAAGGCGGCCATGCCCTCCAGCCGGTCCCGGCTAGGGATGTTCTGCAACAACAGAGAATTGATTTGGGGGACAGATGACAGAACTTGGCCCTTGCCTCTGCACCCTGGTAGCAGGCTCTGCAGAAGGGTGTTGAGCGTCCAGGGTCTCCCCAGCACCGCCCAGTGCAGCGGCCGCTGCCTACACGTGCTTCTTGGTGCCCTGGTGGCGGCAATGCCCAGAGAGGCGGCTTGTTCAAGTAAAGGTGAAGCTGTACAGTAAGTCTGGGGCCAGGGGTGCACGCCTGGCTCTGCATAGCCCTCCCAGGCACCCGCCGGCCCTGGAGGGCCCAAGCAGCACCACAGCCTTTGGTCCAGTTGGCTGAGTACTCAACCCTGCACAGTGCAGGAGCGCCCCCAACCAAAGGAGAAACCTGGCTTTGAGTGTGCCCTGTTGCTCCAAGTCCCAGATCCTGTAGAAGTTGGGCATTTCTTAGCCTGCAGATTAGTCCTTTCACTAATACAGGCTGAGGGCTTCACAGCCCTCGGTCACTGCAGACACCCCTCCCCCATTGCACACAGCCTCAAGCATCACCAAGGCCCAGGGCCGCTGCCCAGAGAGTCTGTGAGTCTGCCTGCCTCTGGCATGTCCTGAGTTCGAGTCTGGGGGGGGGGCAGGGGCGGTAGGATGCAACATCACTTGACTGAGGAAGTTTGATTCCCTCGAGCACCCCAGAGACTTGAGGTGGGGGGACCTACTGAGTTGGCCTCACATTGCCCAAGCCACATTCCCCACCCTCCCATCCGGGCTAGAGCCACATACCTGGACGTAGCATAGTCCTTCGATGGCCATCCCGGAGGCAATGTCCACCTGCAGGAAGAAACAGCGCAGTGAGTTTCCATTCTCCCCGCTGTTCACAGTGCCCTGTGTCTGAGAGTCAGACTCTCTCTCTCTCTCTCTCTCTCTCTCTCTCACACACACACACACACACGCGCGCGCGCGCGCGCGCACACACACACACACACATTGCATTAGGGCAAGAGTGACAGACCAGTGCAGGAGCAAAGCGGGGTGAGAAAAGGATTGTAGGCCCCCCATTGTCTTCCCCCCCGCCCATTTCATCTGCCCTCCAGAAGAAGGTCCTGGCAAACATGATAACCTGTCAGTAACTGAATTGTAAACCGTAATGCCCAAAAGGGGATGGGGGAGAGCGAGGAAAAGTGGCTGCTGTAGAGGCAGGCTGGTTTGGGGGCTGGGGGGTGTTGGGGTGTCCAGGAGGGAAACTGAGGACATTAGTGGTTGGAAATACACACTGGTAAAGGGATGGGAGTTGGAACATTGTATGACTGAAACCCAATCATGAACAACTTTGTAACTTTATCACTGTGATCCATTTTTAAAAAAACGAACACACTACTTGCATTGAAATAACAGCTGAATAAGCCCTCAAGGACTTAATGTCCTCATGATGATATACAGCAATTTTCACAAATTCTCTTTTACTGAAGTATTCTTTGATCATTTCATTAGCCACTTAGTGGTAACAAGTGATACAGAACAGATTGTCGTCAGTCTGCGACGGGCAGGCTTGCTGGATGCCTGGGAATATAGACAAGGTGGAGGGAAGGTGATGGCGGTGGTGGGGTTGGGGTCGAAATAGTGACTGCCTGTACAAAGCACAAGTAACTAAACCGTGGTGTTTAAATGCGTGGGGTGGGGGTTGTGTGTGTGTTTCTGGTTCAGGGAGACACGACAGACTTGCCGGCTGGAACCCCGGGTCCCATTCCTGCCACCACACATTGTCCTGAGCACAGCTGGGTGTAGCGGCCAAACCTCACAAATACATCACACTAACACAGCAGGTCCTGGCCTGTGTGACCTGGGCCCTGGCAGCTTTTGGCCTCCACTGCCCAGTGCTTTCCTAGCTCTGACACAGAAGTGCCGTGTATGTAAAGCAATGGATTTCAGTGGGATTAGTGTCACCAGTGCAGGGCAGCTGCATCTGAGTCATTTGTCTAAGGTCCTAGAGTATGTGGAAGGGCAGACCTTGGATCCATCAGTCAGAACCTGTACCCTGTCTGGCCCAGTGATGGCTCACCCCTTTTCTCCTCGGAGCCAGGTTGCTTCTGTGCATTCGTGCTTTTGCTCCTACGCACGTTTTTCTGGACTTTGCAGCCTTCGGGAGGTGGAGGTCTGAGACCCAGATGGCACAGCCACTTGCTCTGTGGGCAGCACTGTGTGACCCTGGGTGTCTGCCAAGCATGTCTGTCCCCTCCTTAGGGGTGGTGACAGCAGGCAACGCCTCTCTGTCCCCAGCTCAGGTGATGGGTGGACTGGGTGGGGGTGGGGACCCGAGTATTGCCCTGCACCCTGCCGTTGACCTGTGCCTGGCCAGCTTAGACCCAAGAACCTGGACTGAGCCCCCTGATCTGGGTTTTGATTCTCCATTCTTCTCCAGGTGTAAGTTGTTTACCCTTTCCGAACCCTGATTTCCTTCTCCAGCAGAGAGAGGGCAGCATAAAATGGAGTTTGCAGTTCACCCGACATTCTATGGGTAAGCAGTGCAGAGTCTGACTCAAAGTCAGAAGATTCAGTCCCTGTGTCCTTTCCCTCCGTGCTCTCCCTAAGCCCCAAAAGTCACTGTCCTGCTGACTCAAGTAGCCCCAGATCCTGAGTGGGAAGCTTACCTCCATGCCTTGGTCAATGGCGACCTTGCTCAGCCTGACAGCAATGGGAGCCTGAGAAAAAAGACAGGGTGGTTGAGGAGAGAACCCGGACCGGCATTCAGGGGGTTCAAACAAAGGCTCTTCTCCATGCTGGGGCCAGGGGTTTGTTCAGCTCCACTCTTGTCCTGACATCATTAATGCTTTGTCATCATCGGTGCCCGCTGCTTGGCTGGTAAGAGGAAGCCTGGCTGGACCGTGACTGCCCAACCCTGACCTCTTGGGTCCTTGTGTTGGAACTCATCGCCTCACTCTGTACAGCATACCACTGAATGCTCTTACCCCCTACACAGTCGATCGAACAGTGCCTGTTATTCCACATTTACACATGTAAAAGTCTGTTTTCAGATCTGGAGAGATAATTCTGGGCTTTTGATGCTTTCCCTGCATGTGGAATAACAGTAAGTCCCACTGTGACCACAGTTTCATCCTTCTGATGTTTAAGTGGGAAACGAGGAGCATTAGTACAGCGGGGAGGGTGCTTACCTTGTGTGTGGTTGGACCCAGGTTTGATCCAGGGCATCACACGGTTCCCTGAGCCCCACCGGGAGTGATCGCTCATTGCAGAGCCAGAGTAAGCCCTGAGCACCGCTGGGTGTGGCCAACAAAAATAGGTAAGTACATATTCAACTAAGGTATATTTACTGTTTTAGGGAGAAGTCTGCGTGTGTAGGATCTGATCCTGCGTATGTTGAGTTTTTCTGGGCCCTAGAAGAGAATCATTTACCCTTTCGGGCAAGGTGGTTTGTCCTCTAGAGGGCAGCATTTACCACTTACCCCTGGGCCCTGGGCCCTCAAACAAAAATCCCTGGCTTTTCAGGTCGCCTCAGAACGGCCCAGCTTTGGGATTGCTGACTGTATTACTAGTTTTTGGGTTGACTAGTACTTTATTATAGGAAACTTCTTTCAATTACTGAAGTACCATTTTGTCTTAATGGAACACCATTTGAATATATGTAAAAATCTGAGATAGGAATCCTCTTGAGATGGGGCACAAAGACCCAGCTTTTCAGTTTCCATGTAAGAGAAACAGAAGTGAGCCTCACTACAGAGACACAGCTGGGCACATGTGACGGGCTGCTCAGGTCTGCGCTGACTCTTGAATCAAATGTAATAGAAACCCAACAATTATAATTATCCAGGTGACAACATCAGACTCCTAAGCTATATGCAATGAAAAGATAAAGGTCAAAGCATATGCATTCTTCTACATTAAAGATTTTAAAATCTGTGGTCCCTGCCTCCTCGAAGGCTTCTAAGATCTACAAAGGTATGGTTGTCTTGTTTTCTGTATTTTTCTTTTTTTGCCATGCCAGGCATTGAACCCAGGGCCTCAAATAAGCAAGAGAAATACACAAATACACTCCACTGCTGACCTGCATCCTGGCCATAGAGTAATAGGGTTATTAAAAGGAGACAGTATTTTTTCCAAAATAAAGCATGATCAAATACTTTTATCTGCTAATATTAAAGGAGAATGCAAGTGCTGGAGAGATAGTACAGCAGGTAGGATGTTTGTGTTGCATGTGGCAGACCTGGGTTCGATCCCCAGCATCCCACATGGTCCTCCAAGACCACCAGGAGTAATCCCTGAGTGCAGAGCCAGGGGTAAGCCTTGAGCAGCACTGGGTGTGCCTCCCCCCAAATGAGAAGGCATGGTAAATTTTTTATACACTTGAATTTTAACAATTTTTGTAATTCTTGGTAAGTTTTGTATTTTAGTAGCACTGCACTGTAGGACTGTCCTCCCGTTGTTCATCGATTTGCTCGAGCGGGCCCAATAACATCTCCACATCTTGTTACTGTGTTTGGCGTATTGAATATGTCACAGGTAGCTTGCCAGGGTTCGCCGTGCAGGCGAGATACTCTCGGTAGCTTGCTGGGCTCTCCAAGAGGGATGGAGGAGTTGAACCTGGCTCAGCCGGGTCGACTGCACAAGGCAAACGCCCTACTGCTATGCTATTGCTCCAGCCCTTGTATTAAGCATTAATTAAGTATTTTCATAGTCTAAAAGTTTTATATACTGTATTTTTTTTTTTGCGAGGGCAGGGAAGGGCTATTGGGTTATACTTGGCAGTGCTCAGTGCTTATTCCTGGCAGTGCAGGGGTTGGGGGAAACGTGGGTGCCAGCGATCAAACATGTCAGCTGAATGCAAGGAAAGCACCTTAACTCCTGTACTGTCCCGCCCCTTGTATGCTGTACCTTTCAGACTCAAGTATATCAGATTTTACTTGGTAGCCTTTGGAAAGAAATGCTAGGCTTTCAAATTCTTTCCTTTTTGATGCTAAGCACATAAGGCTTTGCTGTATCTCAGATACAATGGGACCAACCAACTCTCTCTGAATTCCTGCTCTGAGCCGCACTCACGCCTGGTGTGTGGGAGTGTCTGAAGGAGGAGTCGAGTGGCTGCCGAGGCACTGGCCAGCCAGTGAGTAAAAGCCTGGCTCTGTTCCAGCTGCTCTGGTATCTCATTGAGACCCGGGGCCTCCTCGGTCCCCTCAGGGTAGGGAATGCCAGCCACGCCCCTTAGATTCCTGGGGGCCCCATCAGATCCCAGAGGCTGTGCTGGAGCCTTTTGGCTGCTGGCTGCTGGCACTGCTTGTCCTTCAGGCCTCGACTCCCCAAGTCAATCATGTCAGATGCAGCAGTTTAAACATTACAGATGGTCGGAAACACATGGCCACTAGCCAGACCTGGCTGTTAGTATTTGAAAATGTGGAATGTGTAACTAGAAACTTCATTTGAGAAGCAGTTCATCTGATTGTGGGGGTCAAACCAGAGCCCCGCGCTTGCCGTACTGTACCACCAGGTACTTCCCTTCTGTCAGATTCGGGGATCTGTGTGTGTGCAAGGAAGTGCCTCGCTGGCTGTCGTCTTTCTCCAGCCCTCCCCTGATGTCAGTTGTTAATTTAAGTTGCAGATGGCTGCCAGAGTGGCTCATTTTGTCCCTAAGTCTGGCAGCTACTGGAGTGGGGCCCCCTCCCTGCCCTCCCCTCCAGGTGCTGGGTGTTCACCACACCTGAGGCAGGATCTCCTGGGCCAGTTCCCGTGCCCGCAGGTAGGCAGCGGTGCCCTCTTCATTCTGGGCCACCGCGTGGTTCACCAGCCCCAGGGCTTGAGCCTGGGTTCCTGTCAGCCGCCGGCCGGTGAAGATGAGCTCCTTGGCCAGGGCCACCCCCAGGCACCGGGGCAGCCTCTGCGTTCCCCCTATAGGATGGGGTGCAGGTATGAATATGTGAGCAGTGGGAACCCCAGAAAATTCCTGCCCAGGAGGTCAGCCGGGACTCAGAAGAATAGATCCAGAGGATGGAAATGCGGAGTCCAGAGCTGAAGGGAAAGGTGGGAACAGCCGCCATGAGTGGGACAGAGCAGGGGACGCGGCAGGGAGTTACCTGCTCCTGGGAGGAGACCTCGGGTGGTTTCAATCAGTCCCATGACAGCCGAAGAAGCTGCGCAGACAGACTTAGAGTCAGTCCATGTCTCCCCCGGCCCTGAGAAGGGGCGCAGCATGCCCCACTCGCCTCTGCAGCCCCCACTCACCTCACCTCCGCAGCCCCCAGACTCGCCTCTCTGCAGCCCCCACTCACCTCTACAGCCCCCTGACTCACCACTGCAGCCCCCATGCATCTCTGCAACCCCCCACTCACCTCTATAGCCCCCTCACCTCCATGAAAGCCTCACGCCTCTCTGCAGTTCCCCACTCACCTCTGAAGCCCCCCTCCTCTGCACCCGCTCCAGCACTCCCCTTTGCTGTCTGGAGCACCTGCTCTGACCAGCCTGTTTTCCCTAAGAACTGCTGCCCCCCATTTTCTCCTCACTCAGAGCCTGGCCTGTTCCTGCCTTCCAGCCCCTTCTACATGCTCTTAAAGTCCACTTCCTCCAAGAAACCCCCGTGTGGTGCCTAAGTGGGCTTCTCTCAACCTCCTTGACTGTGGGTCTCTGAAGACTGCTACGTGGGCAGGGGCATTCTAGCGACTGCCTAGGGGGCTTCTCTCAGCCTTTCTTCTATGCAGCCCAGAGCTGGGGGGGGAGGTTACCTTCCCCACCGGCAGGCGAGTAGCAGAGCTGGGGCTAGACCTGGCCTGGTACTTGTCCGTGGTAGATGTCAGCTCCTGTGCTCTGAGTTGACCTTTGTTTTGTTTTGGGGCCACACTTGCCCCCCGTGCTTTGGGGTGTCTGGCAGTGCTCGGAGGACCAGGGTACCATGTGGCACTGGAGAGTGAACCAGGCCCCCTGCATGCGAAGCCTAAATCCCAGTCTTTTGTGCTAGTTCTCTGAACTTTAAGGGGCGGCGGAGGCTCAAGGGTGGGCCCCCCCCACCTTCTCAGCCACCAGAGTGGGGGAGTCAGTGCAAGGGCCAGTGGTACAGGGAGACCCAGGTCTCCCGTCAGTGCTGGGGGCCTCCAGAGATGCACTCAGTGATACTTGGGGGACAATCTCCTCTTGCCCTGTGAACCAGGAGCCCCCCAAAACCAAGAACTCTAAACCCAGGTCCAGAGCTGCAGCTCAACAGGCTCAGCACACCTTCGCATTCAGGGGTCCGGGTTTGATCCCTGGCGTCACAGAGGCCCCCAAGCACTGCCAAGAGAGAGGGCAGTCCTTGAACATTGAGCACAGAGCTGGGGGAAGTCCTTGAACATCGCTAGTGTAGTCCAAACAGACCAGAATGGAGACAACTACGACATGACACTGAGCCCGACTTGTCAGAGCTGCAGTGACGGTGTCTCTTGGCTCCCCCGGACTGCCTTTGCTCCTCTTGGCGGCAGCTCAGTTGCTAAAGTTCAAGGTGACAGCAGAGTCCCCGCTCCCCGTAGGTCGTGTAGGGTCCTGCAGGCCCCAGGCTGCCCTGGGCGCTCCCTGACCCACCCCAAGCCCTCCTCTGCCTGCCCGTACCTGCCACTCGGAGGTCACACGCCAGGGCGAGTTCCAAGCCTCCTCCCAAGGCATAGCCGTCCATGGCAGCGATGGTGGGTGCGGGGAAGGCCGCTGTGGGGACAGATAGGCTCAGCCTGCAGGGCGCCAACAGCAGGGACAGCTGGGGTGAGGCAGAGGGAGCTGGGGGCAGAGGGCCTCGCTCGCCCAGGTTCGGGGACTACCCCTGACGCTCGGCCAGGTAGCTTGGAAATTGGTTTTCTAGGAAGCTAGCCACAGGCCCACTCTCTGCTGCCCGCTGTGTGCAGGTGCTGGCCATGCAGCACTCGGGCCAGGCCGGAGGACCTGTGTGGTGACCTGGGTCTGCCTCTCACTAAGCAGTATGAGGGAATAAACCCAGCCTCCTGCTCACAGGCGCCCACATGATCCCTTTGAGCTATTCCCCGGGCCCCTGACCTGTGTTCTGGAGGTAAGAGGGTGGTTCAGTGTAGGCTTCCTGGAAGAGGGGGTCAGAGCTACCTTATCAGATCAGTAAGAGGGAGGGACACTCCAGGCAAAGAGTCGCCACCCTCAGAGCTTGGAAATATGCACACACTTGGTGGCCGTTGGCCCTGACCCGGATAGGCAGGCATGAGGTGGAGTGGAAGGAGGGCTGTGTGTGTGTGTGCACGTGCATGTGTGTGTGTGTGTATGTGTGCATGTATGAATGTGTATGTATGTCTCTGCATATGTGTATGTGTGTGCAGTGTAAGTGTGTATGAATTGTGTGTATGTGTGCATGTGTATGTGTGTGTACATGTGCATATCTGTACATGTGTGTATGTGTGAGTGTATGCATATGTATGTATGTGTGTATATGTGTGCATGTATGTTTATGTGAGTGTGTGAGTGTGTACGTGTCTATGTATCTGTGCGTGTGTGTGCGCATACATGTGTGTGTAAACAGGATGGGGTAGGAGAGTCAGAGCTGCCCCTGGAAAATTGCCCCCAGCCCTGCTGTCCCCCCACCAAGTTCATGACAGGGTGAGCCTCTCAGAGGATTGGAGGTGCGGGTGTCCACTTGAGGAGGTGTGTCCTCACCAATCTCACTCATCAGGCCTCGGAGTCGCTGTACAAAGGCGCCCACTGCCGCTTCGCTCATCTGCTCCCGCTCCTTCAGGTCAGCACCTGCAGGTGGAGAGCGTGAGGGCCCCTTGCTGAGCCCCAGGCTGGAAAAGGCCCCCGTGAATGGGAAGGGAGATAGAGACATCAGACAGGAAGGAGAAACGCCAGGTAAACATGATTAGGAAGCCAGGGACAAAATGGGTGGGGGGCATGGGGCACACCATGGGGAGATACACTAGCTTGATCAAAATAAAACTGTGTACATCAAAGGACAGTCTCGGGGGTGAAAAGAGGTCCCCAGAACGGAAGAAAATCTGGCAAATCACATCTCTGATAAAGGATTAAGATCCAAAGGCCACACTCAGCTCCCAAAACCAACGTAAGAGCTTGGACCAGCATTTCTCTAAGGCAAATATACAGACAGCAACAAACTTTTGGAAAGACATTCGATCTCATTAGCCACTAGGGAAAAGTCAACATTGCAAAGAAAAGCTACTTCCAGAACCATGAGGAGAGCAAACAGGAGCATTGGTGTGGTGTGGATGCAGAGGGTCACGGAGTACTGGGAGCCAGAAGTTAATGTCGCTGCTGTGAATTTTGAATCCTCAAAAGCAAAGTGCAGAATTACCTTATGATCTAGTAATGCTATTCCCAAGCACATACCCCAAGGAATTGAAAGTGAGGATTCTGACACTTGGGTATGTGTTCTTAGTTGCATTATTCAGAATAGTCCAAAGATACCAACAAAACCCACTGTCCACCTACAGTTGGATTGAGAAACCAGATGTGGTATAACACAATGGAATAGTCCATCCAGAGAAAGGAATGCAGTGTCATATGCTAGGTATTAGGCCACACCTGGTGGTACTCAGGGCTTGCTCCTGCCCTCTTGGCTCAAGGATCACTCCCAGTGGTCTGGGGGACCCTCTGTGGTGTTGGGGATTGAACTGGTGTCAGTTGCATCAGTATTAATCTTTCTGTCCAGAAATGCAGTTCGATAGCTACTGTAGCCTGGGTGGATGATGAGGCCATGATGACAACTATAAGCCAGACACAAAAGGCCTGGGGTTGTATGTTCCCATGGCACACATTAACTGCAAGAAGAAATTCATAGAAAGTAGAAAAGAGGCTGGGATTATTTAGAGAACTGAGCCATGCCCTGCCACAGATCAGCAGGAGGTGCAATTTCCCAAGCAGGCAGCTCAGCACATGCCCTTCTCAACTCCCCACCTGAGCGACCCCCTGGGCCCTGAACTGAAGAAGCAGATCAGAGTGGCGGAAGGCATGGTTTCCTGAGCAGGCAGATGCTTATGGCGGGGGTGGCGGTGGTGGTTTGAGGGCAGCTGTCCCCATCAGTAGGGCTGACTTCAGGCTGGCACCGTGCCTAACAGCTCCCCCATCCTTGGGAACCCTGCTCATCTGCCCTAGCCATGGTGACCCCCCCACCTTGTGACCCCCTGTCCCAACCCCGAGCTCTGGCCCCATGCTCATGGACTTGCTTCTTTCTGCAGGCTAGGGAAACCCTCTTTCCAGTTTGCCACCAATTCCTGGAGCCCACCCTGTGGTGAGGCCCGTGGTGCCAGGACAGTAGTGAGTTGGGGGGTCGGGATCTCACGGATGGGCCGGATCCCACCTTGGCCGCATGCTCGCCTTTGGGCTCAGCTGCCTCATTTCTCTTCCACGAAAGATCAGAACGGGGAGAAAGAGCAGAAAGAACAGGCATTTCGGAGATGAGCGAGGTCACGTTTCAATTGAAGCGAGCCCCCCACTTACTCACCGCTGGGTCTCTGAAGTCACACTGTCGGCTGGGAATGCGTCCTAGGCAGGAACCAGCTGAGAGAGCCTTTCCCCCAACCTTGCTGAGACCCGGGAGGGGGTGCTGTGGGGGGGCAGGGCAGGGGGAGGGACTCACCTGCACAGAACACGCCTTTCACTGCACTTCTGAAGAGCAGGACCCGCACCTGCCGATCCCCCCGCAGCTGGGCCAGAGCTTCGAACATCTGCAGAGGAGACTCATCCCGGTCACAGCCCCATCCGGGTCCTGTCCCCTGCCAGCCCTGCACCCTGGCCAGGCTGCCTCACCTGGTTCACAAAGACGTTCCCCAGGGCGTTTCGGGCTCGAGGTCTGTCCATTAGGATCTCAGTGATTCCTGCAGGAACAGAGCAGCCTGCCTCCGTTCTGGGCCCTGTCCACCCACAGGGAGCAGTGGGCCCTGGGCAGCATCGTGGGGAGCGACCACCTATTGCCCTGGATGAGGCAGGCAACCCATCAGAGATGCCTCACCACCGCCATCCAGGAATGTGCCTGTCACTTGCCTGGCCCTCTTCCCATCATAGACAGGAAGGGAGAGGATGTGAGTTCGTGCATAGTGAGATGCAGACGTGGTGCAGTTCAAAGCCAGCCCACGGTCAAAGAGAGGATATCAGGGTGAGGGGGACCCCAATTGCCCAGTTAACGCCCAGTTACGGAAGCAGAGTCGACTGAAGAGCACCAGCCAGCACGCCCCAGAGTGGAGAATAACCTGTCAGACTGACGATACTCTAGTGCTCAGTGGAAGTAGAATCTGTGCTGTTGCTCCCCATGCCAGGAATTGTGACCCCACATGGTTCCGGGGGTTTACTTTCCTGCAAGTGATCTCTTCCTCCTGCTTCTCCTGGGTTTCCCTATCTCTCTCCTTGGGGTGGAAGGAGGCTAATCTCAGATCCCTGTTATTTCTGGATAAAACCCTGTTTTGAGACAAAGCCCCAAGATCTATGACCTGAGACAAACCCCCTTCCTACCCCGTTTTTGTTGCTGTGGTTGCAGAGAGCGTGGCGGTGGGGGATCACCCTTGGCCATGGGGCTCGTGCCCTCATGCTTTGTTGCTACAGAGGGCATCCCCAGTTATAGTGATTGACCTGTGAGGTGGTACTGGAAATTCAGCTCAGAGCCTGGTGGTTGCGAGAAGGGCACCTCTCTGCTGCCCCGTCTCCAGCCCAAATGCCTGGTTTCTGGAGTACGAATCTGTTCTCTGTGCACTGAATTGCCGAAAGAGACATGAAGACCTAACGGTTGACAAGGGAAGTCTTCAAATCAGAACTGGTTCAAATGATTTAACTTCACTGTGTCTTGATTTTTTGGTCTGAAAAATGGGAGGAATTACTGAGAATGCTTGGAGAGCGTGTTGCGACCTGCTTGGCAATGACCTCAGCAGGAGTGAGGGGAGCTGCCTCACACTGGCTGGGTCCCTATGTGTTCAGCCAGAGGTGGAGGGCAGCAACTGGACTGTCTGCTTTGCACCTGGGTGCCTGGGTCAGTCTCTGACTCCGCATGGTCCCCTGAGCACTGCTGAGAGTAATCTGTGCCCTCCCCCTCCCAGCACACACCCGAGAAGAATTACTGAATGTGGCACAAAAATCAAACAAAATGTGTGTGTGTGTGTGTGTGTGTGTGTGTGTGTGTGTGTGTGACGTGCTAGAGTATAGTAAATAAGAACAAGGAAGAGACTAGATTTATATGGGAAATAAACCCTTCAAAACTCACTATGGAGATGGGTGTAAAGAGAAAGTAAAGAGAGAATGGGCACTGGTGGAGGGGTGAGTCTTCGATCATTGTATAACTGAAACCCAAGCACAAAAATTTGTAAGTCTACAACTGTACCTCATGGTGTTTCACTAATAAAAATTAAAAAAAAGAGAGAGAGTACAGCATGCTGGGTGCTTTCCTTGCCAGGTGGTTTAAAGAAAACAACAAAACAAACAAAAAAACAACAAACAAAACAACAAAAAAAAGAATGGGGGTTGGGGTGGGCAGGGACAGAGAGATAGTACAGCAGTAAGGCACTTGTCTTGCATGTGGCCAGCCCGCGTTTAATTCTCAGCACACCATACGGTCTCCCAAGCACCAACAGTAATGATCCCTGAGCACAGAGCCAGAAGTAAGCCCTGAGCAATGCCAAATGTGGCCCCCAAACCAAACCAAACTAAATCAAAACTCAGCTTTAAGGCGGGGAGGAGGTTGACACGTGAGCTGTGCAATGCAGAATCACCCCTGCCAATTAAAACTTGGAAACCACTGGGCTGCATTAGGGCAGGGAGGGGCAGGGATGGTCAGTGGGGGAGGGCGGAAGGGGACCCCCTGCAGGTGGAGTAGCGTAGCAGGCAGTGAGGAACGTCCTCCCCTCCCCACCCACCCCCCGCACTTGAAACCCCGAATGACCCCCTCACAGCTCGGTCCAGAGTTTACTGCCGGAGTGGACTTTCCCTCTTTGAGTGAGACTTGCGTAAAAGCCTGTGGGCGATTACCTCCCGGGCCTCGGCTCCCAGGAGCCTTGCCAGGGCTTGCCAGGCGGGAGGGAAATGGGGTCTTTCAAACTACCACCTCACTGCAGAGCTGGAGGAGGAAAGGCATGTTCTCTCTCTGGAGGCCAGTTCCCCTAGGTATTCACGGTTCCCCAGCACTGCCAGAGTGACCCCCGCGCACCGCCAGATTCGCCCCAATTCCCGCCCCCGACGAAACAGAACATCTGGGCGGTAGAGAGGGGCTCCGGGACCAGGTTCCCCTTGGAATCCCCGCGACCCGCTTCCCCTTACAGGCGCAGTCCACCAAGAGGGGCCTGGGAAACCTTCCCTGATACACGCGAGGCTGGGGACCAGTAGCGCGGAGGCTAGAGGGGAAGAATCATTCCCCACGCCCCCTCCTCTGGCCTGTCTCCCCGCCGGGGGCAGGGTCCCTCCCGCGGCCCCGCGCGCGCGCTCACCTTGGTGGGGACCCTCCAGGGCGCGCACCTGGATCTCCGGGGCGGCAGCTGCGGGGCCAGAGGCGCAGCCGCGGGAGCGCAGAAGGCGCCGGGCGAGGGTCGGGGCGCGCAGCAGCATCTGGTCCTCTCGCGGCGGTGGAGAGCTGTGAGCTGGACCCCAGGCACTGACCAAAGGTTCTGCCCGCAGCCCCGAGGAGGGGAACCGCCCAGCTCCTTGACGTGCCTTTCAGGCCGCTCAGAGCTCCCGCCCGCACTTCCTTCGAAAGTGACTTATTAAGAAACCCGAGGCCCCTGACTTGCAGGGGTCCTGCTGTCTGCTCCAAGCGTCAGTGTCTGCAGCCCGGACCCAGAGCCAGTCCGCTGCTGCCCTGTGAGCGCAGACGGGTGGGCGAGTCACAGCCCAGGATTCTGGAGAGTTGTGGGCGTGTGTTCCCTGGTCCCATCTTTTGGGGAGGGGGCAGTGGGCCAAAGCCTCAGGGTTTACTTCCAGCTCTGTGCTTAGCTCTGGGCTTCCTCCTGCCTCTGGGCTCAGGGACTCACTCCTGCTGTCGCCCAGCGGGGTTCTGTGTGTCCGGGCGCAAGGCAAGCCCCTTCCCGGCTGTACTGTCTCTGGGCCCGCTCCCGGCCAGTGCTGGACTGTATGTTGCCTTCAAGGCAATGGACAAACGGGATCTCAAGGCTAGGAACTTTAACCCTCCATCTTTTCCAGAGCTAGGGTGTCACGATGACACTGTGGGACATTACAGAGGAGCCAGGGGTCATGAAATTCTCAGGATGAACAAACAGGGCTCTACAGGGCAAACTTGTTTGGACAGAGTTAACTGTCCTGTACTCAGAGATTTGCAGACTATTGCGACAGAGAACAGTCCAGAGAACAGGACCAACTTCATTCAGTCCCGGGTGGTGTGGGTTTGAAAGCGGGAATCAGGAAAACAGGAGGGTGTGGGCCCTGCTGTCTAGAGGCTCCCGCATTGTATCTTCAGGGGCAGGAATAAATAAAATCTTTTGGGCAACTGTGCGTTTATCAGAGGGCATTGCAACAGGGCAAGGGTCATGGTCACCCCTCAGGGGGTCTGTGCAGGTCATCCTCAGGATATAACATGGTCTTGAGCTGTGAGCACTTGTGGCTTAGTGGCTTAGTGGCTGGGTGAGGACTATCAGGGAGGCCTGGGGAAGGGTGAATCTGTCTCTGTTGTGGTGTTACCATGACTATTGGAGAGCATGGAAGATCCTTCGTAGATACATGCCCAATAAATGCCATCTCAGGGCCAGAGAGTAGTATTTGCTTTGCACATCATTGATCCCTGTTTGATCCCCAGCACCACATTTGGTCCCCTGAGCACCACCAGGAGTGATCCCTGAGCACAGAATCAGGAGTAGGAACTGAGCACTGTCAAACTGAAAAAAAGAAAAAAGAAAAAAAACACACCAAAACCCCTCAACACCACCAATAAATGCCAGCTCACTTAAGAAACAACATTTCCTGGACTCCACATCAGGATGTTTCACTCGGGGCGCCCCAGAGAGGGGCAGGTGAGAGCCCTCCCCGCCCAAGGGACCCAGCCCCAGCAGCCGAAAATCTCCAGAACCCAACCACCGCCACACTCAAGGCCGTTTCTCACACGCTCGGATAGAGCCTCATGTACGAGTGAACGTATTCCTGGACTGCATGGCGATGAACACATCATAAGACAGTTTTCCATAACAGACAATACAAAATATTGTCTTGTTATGTTTGTTGTGTTTGGGACAGGCATTGGGACTTGGATTGGAAACATCCCAAATTTGGTGGTGAAATTGGTGTTTGAATATTAACTATAATCAAATATATTGAACCACCTTATAAAATAAAAAAATTAAATAAGTAAAGTAAAGTAAAGGCCCTCCCGTTGATCGTCGATTTGCTCGAGCGGGCCCAGTAACGTCTCCATTGGAGACTTTGTTGTTACTGTGTCTGGCATATCGAATACTCTCGGTAGCTTGCCGGGCTCTCCGAGAGGGGCGGAGGAATCGAACTTGGGTCGGCCATGTTGGCTGCGTGCAAGGCAGACGCCCTACCCGCTGTGCTATTGCTCCAAAACGGTATTTCACTTGAAATAAACTCATTTCACTTGTTCCCTCTGACACTGTCTGGGCTCACAGGGTTTGTGGGTTGTTTTTGCTTTTGGGTTGTACTCAGCCTTGTTCACAGGGCTTACTCCTGTGTTCAGGGATTACTCCTGATGGGGCTCCTCTCCAATAGTCACGATACAGCGTGTTGGGGATCAAACCTATGTTGGGTACATGCAAGGCAAATGCCCTACCCACTGTACGATCTCTCCTGCCCCTGTGTTCACAGTTTTAACTGCCTCACCTCCCACTGGTCCCTTTCAGGCCAATTCTGTGCTCCATAACTGGATGCAAAGACATCTGTGAGCTTGAGTCCCCAGAAGCTGCACCTCCCTCCCAGTGGCTTATGTTAACCATCAGGGACTCTGTTTTCTATCTTTGGGAGGGTGTCTCTTTCCTTTCCCAGTTTCCTCGTGTCAAAGGCCACCATCCTGAATCCTGACTACGATGCAATGGCTGACTGCAATATGGCAATAAAACACTCTTCTTTGGAAACTTCTGTTTAGAGAGCCAGAGAGATAGGAGAGAAATGGCATGTAGCTGGTCCAGGTTCAGCAGTGCATAAGGTCCCCTAAACATTGCCAGGAGTGACACAAATTCCCTCCACACTGCAAAGAGCAGTAGTAATAACACTAATAACACTACTATTTATTTTAGGGAGGAGTGCTGGGCTTAGAAGTGCTCAGGGGATATTCCTGGCCTTCTGCTCAGGAGTGACCCTTGGTGGTGCTTAGGGGCCATATATCGGGGATTCAAATGGGTCAGCTGCATACAAGAGCCTTACCTCATGCACTGTCTCTCCAGCACAATAATACCATTATTTTAATTATAAAAACATTATCTGAGAACAATTTTTTAGGTGTGTGAAGGGAGCGCCCCAAGCAGTGCTCAGGAGGTCTGGAGGCCACTTTTAGTCACATTGGCTTACAGGTAATGTGGGGCTCCCCTGGCCCAGTGGTGCTAGGGATTCCCAAGGGTAACACCTGACAGTGATAGGAGGTGATTTGGTGCTAGAGGTCAAATTGGGGTCCCTGTGTATGCAAAGTCTGCACCACTGACCCCTCACTTATCTTCTGGTCCTGGAAGATATTTTTATTTTTCCAATGAAGATGTCTTTAATGGGAAATATATATGTATGTATATGTATATATGTGTATAAATCACTGCATTTGATTCAGAAATACTGATTTTTAGGAATTTAATAAGTATGTACGTGCAGGTGCAAAATGACAATGAACAAAGCTATTCACTGCCATAGTTTATAATAGCAGAAACTGGTGTCTTAATATTCATTCTTAGAGGGTTAAATAAATTGTTATATTGACAAATATAGCACTGTGAAGCTATTTTTTTTCTTTTTTATAATTTTATTTATTGAATCACCATGAGAGCAGTTACAAACCTTTCGGGTTTAAGTCTCGGTAATACAATGAAACACCCATCCCTTCACCAGTGCCCATTTTCCACCACCAAAAACCTAAGTATACCCTCCCATCCCACACCCTCCCCTTACCTGTGGGGCAGATGATTTCCACTTTACACTCTCTCTCTACTTTGATTACATTCAATATTTCGACATCAGATCCACCATTATTATTTGGGATTTTATCCCAACACTCAGATCTGCTGAAAAGGCAACAGTAGACAGTTTGTTTTCTATTGCTGGTTATGAATAACATATGATGTTGTGTGGCTGCAGTAGTGGCTGCGCGATTTTGAAATTTCAAATTTTTTAAAAAATTTTTTATTAGTGAAACACCATGAGGTACAGTTGTAGACTTACAAATGTTTGTGCTTGGGTTTCGATTATACAATGATCAAACACCCATCCCTCCACCAGTGCCCATTTTCCATCACCATGGATCCCAGTAAAATTCCAAAATTTTAACAATTAAATCTGGAGGGATTTCTGCCAAAACCTACTGGGTTCCGAGATTTGTTTCTGAGTCTCTTGGATCATGGCCGTTAAGCAGCTTGATCGAGAGAGGCTGTTTGTGGGCGGCGACTCAGGATCTTGTTGGGTGGGGAGGAAAGGGACAGCTCCCACCCCCATCTCGTCTCATCACTACAGATCCAAACCTGACTGTCCAATGGCCTCTGGAGGATGACGGCCACCGAGCCACCAAGGGGGAGCAGGCGGAGGGATAGCACTCTTTCCCCCTGGAGTGGCCTAGCACCGGTAACCTACTGCAGGATCCAGATGCATTTCTGCCAAATGCCACTGGGTTTTGAGATTTGTTTTTGAGTCTCTGGAATCATGGCTGTTAAGCAGCTTGATCAGGAGCCAGAGAGGTCGTTCATGGGGGGCTACTCGGGGTCTCCTTGGGGTGGGGAGAAAGGGCCGGCTCCACCCCCATCCTGTGAGGCCCTGCATGTCTCGTCACTGCAGGCCCAAACCTGACCGTCCAGTGGCCTCTGAAGGATGGCGGCCACTGAGCCACCGGGGGGCACAGACCAAGGCACGAAACCTATTCCCACCTAAGGTGGCCTGGCGCCAGTAACCTGCTGCAGGGACCGGACGCATTTCTGCCAAAAGCCTTTGGGTGTCGAGATTTGTTTCTGCATCTCTGGGATCATGGCTGTTAAGCAGAAGCTATTAAAAAGACATAGGAAGGGAGCAGGCAATTGTACAGGGAATAAGGATCTTGCCTTACATGCAACTCACCCTGTTTGATGTTCATAGCTGTGTATGGTCTCCTGAGCATCACCTTGGGGTCACTCCTGAGAACAGAGCCAGGAACAGCCCCTGAGCAGCACCAAGTGTGGGCCAAATATAAATAAATTATATTATTTATTCAATAAATAGATGAATAAATAGACACAGGAAGCTCTTTACAACCGAATATAATTTTCAAAATCTATTACATAGAGGCTAGAGTGATAGATAGTACAGCAGGTAGAAGACTTGCCTTGCAGGCAGCCAACAGGTCTTGATCCCTGGCCCCCTACATGATCCCCTTAGCCCCACTGGTTGTGATTCCTGAGCTCAGAGCCAGGAATAAGCTCTGAGCACCAACAGGTGTGGCCCCCACTCACCCAACAAACAAACAAACAAACAAACTTTTGATTGATCTGGAGCCATAGTACAGCAGGTAGGGTGCTTGCTTTGCACACGGCCAACCCAGGTTCAATCTCCAACAACCTACATGGTCCCCCAAGCACTGCTGGGAGTAATTCCTGAGTACAGAGCCAGGAGTAACCCCTGAGCATTACTGGATATGATGCTCACCCGGCACCCCCCAGCCCCTCCCCCCACAAAGTCTATTGTATAAAAACATCAAGATGTGAAGCAGTTCATTAAAAAAACAACAACAACAAAGAAAAACAAGAAAACAAGACCAGATAACCAAAGTTGTCACAACAGGAATAGGAGAGAAGCTTCCAGACAGACTGGAGACAGACACCCCTGCCACAAAAAAAGGGGTGCAGACCCCTCAGGAGGCGCCCTGGGCACCTGTGTGTTTTTGCTGTCTTGGTCAAGATGAGACAAGCCAGTGGCCTCAGACAAACGGATTCTCAGCCACCTCTGGTCTGTCTTCTTGATCTTCTTCAACC